ATAAGGTTGTGTGTCATCCTTGTAATAAACGTATATAATATAAAGTAGTATTAGTGTACATGAACCGCATGCTAAAGTAGAAAAACTATACAAAATAACCTAAATGTAATGTTTAAGAATTAAAAGTAAACTTGTGAAATAAAAGTTTAATGTAAATAATTTATAATATGCAAAATTTATAATGGATAAATTGCACATGTTTGTGTTATTTTTGTGAATGAATCATGTTAACAATATATTTATTTTATTTTTTATTTTTTTTTAATTTTTTAATCTTCGTTTCATTTTTTCTGTCTGTTCACACTTTAAAGTTAGTTTTTGTGTATGCTTTTGTTTTTTTCTTTACAAAATATTGTTTCACAAATTGAAAGTATGCTCTTTTTTAAGATTTAAAATAAAATAAAATTTAAAATTATAAAATTACAAAAAATTTTGATTAACAAATAAATTTTCTTTTTGCAAAAATAGGAAATATATATATTTATTAATTAAAATTATGCATAATATAAAGGGATATATCCCTTTATTATGCATAATTTTAATTTTTCAATAACAATATTGTTCACAAACTGATTCTTTTCTTTAAAAAAAAAATATTACATATTCCAGTTTCTTAACATTTTTGTAAAAAATTCTCAATTTACAAATGCTAATATTAAAACTTTAATATAAAAAAAAATGTTGTTACATTTATTTACGAATTTCTTTAATTATAAAATTATTCGTAATAATATCAGTAACTTCTATTTAAATAAATATTTGATTGTTATTATTTTTTCATTATTTTATTACATTTAAAAATAATTAAATTTTTGTAATCATTTTGTAACGTACGTCTACAAAATTCAATGTATTTAGTGTTTTTAACTAAAATTCTTCTATAAATTCATTATTTTTAATAATTAATTAAATATATATTGCCAAATATAACTAATTTCAAAAGAATTTGAATTATCAAAATTTTAAATTAAATTCATTCAAAATTAAAATTTTATAAAATTTCAAACTGAAACCGCTTAAAGTTAATTTGTTTATAAAAATTGTAAACGCAAAATTGAATTGATTTTGAAATATTTAAATGAACGGATAACTATTTGTATTTTTCTCATATGTCAAGTTCTCTTCCTCCTCAATTATGATTGGCAGATAAGTATTTGGAAACGACGGCAACAATGTATGAATGTCGCACACGGAAATTTTCGAACAACCTATCTCGAACGGTCATTGAGAATAGACTTTCAGAGTCGCATGCGACATTAACCATTCGACATTTTACGCATGCGAGAATTGTCGAATGCTTTCGAGAATACGGCCCCAGTGCTTGAACTAGTTTGGTGAAACTGGCCCTGAAGGTACACTCTCACCTCACTGCCTGCCTGCGCAGGCAGGCAGGCAGTGAGGTGAGAGAGCCATAAGAGTGAGAGAGAAAAAACATTTAATTTGAATTTTCTTACTCTCTTACTCCTATGTGTTACCATGTCAACCTGCAGGCAGGCAGGCAGTAGGAGCTGTGCTAGCGCCTTAAGCTGAGTCTCCAATAGGTGCCAATATGCATGTGCAAGTGCCAGTGCCAGTGCCAAACCCATTTAAAATGTATTGGGGATTGGCACTGGCACTTGCACTTGCACCTACAATGGCACCTATTGGAGACTCAGGTTTGTTCTCGCTAGCTACACTTTCTACACTTTGTACAAAAGTGTACACTACGGCGTTCTCGTTACCAGAAGTGACGCAATAGTGTACACCTAACTCCCTAAAAGCCCGTGCACTTTTCCCTATTTTATTACACCCGATTACGAGCGAGTGTAAGGGTACGGTCCCATGTTGAGCAGAAAACACAATGCAAAGCAGAATTTCGTGAGAGTGGAAAGGATAGTGATATCTGACTATCTCTCTTGCACTCACGAAATTCTGCTTTGCATTCTGTTTTCTGCTCAGCATGGGACCGTACCCTGATTGAGTGTTCTGATTAAAATGGCGGTAAATGGACATTGTATTTAAAATGCATTAATTATTTTATGAACATAAAATTATAATATGTTTTTTAATGACTTTTAATTTGAAAAATTATTAGTTAGCAATTCTTATTTTGTTAATATTTATATAAAGTACCACATTATAAACAATTAACATTGTAAAGCAATTTTTAAATAATTATTTTCCCATTTATTAAAACCAAACTTTATTTACATAGAATTTAAAAAAAAATTTCTTAATTTTATGATGGTAAACATATTTTTTAAAAAATAATAGAATTTATGAAAAAAATTAAGTTTGAAAGATAACCTTTAGAATATTTCAAAACATGTCGCTTCCATTTTTCTTGAAACTTATGTGAAAATGAAGCTTAAAAATTCTAGTTTTATTCTCAAATCGGTTGAAATTAAGAAATTAATTAAGGTACACTCTCACCTCACTGCCTGCCTGCCTGCGCAGGCAGGCGCCATAAGAGAGAGAGAAAAAATATTTAATTTGAATTTTCTTACTCTCTTACTCCTATGTGTTACCATGTCAACCTGCAGGCAGGCAGGCAGGCAGTAGGATCTGTGCTAGCGCCTTAAAATTTTACAAAGATGTCAGAGTTTAAACTGTGTAAAAATTTGAAAAAATTAAATTCTGCTCGGTACATACATTTAACCTTCGAAATTCTTATAAAATTTAATTAATATCTCAAATTTCCATGAATTGCCCATTATAAAGTTTACAGGGAATAATAGGAATAAATCCTATTATTTAAAAAAAAATTTAACATCATAAAACTGATAAATTTTTCTCTTAAAATCACTAATAGTAAATAAATTTTGGCTTTAATAAATGTGAGAAATAATTATTTAAAAAATTGCTTCACAATGGCAATTGTTTATAAGGTGGTTTGTTTTAAATAAAATGACCCATATATTTATTTATAAAACCTAACTATATATTACAGATTGTATACAGTTTACAATTAAGATAGCGTTAATTTTTTTTTCATTTTTTCGTGCACTTTCTCTACACTTTTGCGTTCTCGCTAGATTTTGTACTTTATTTAAGTGCGCATGCTCCGTTTTACACTCTTGTTACACTCGAGTGTAGCGGTGTAGCTAGCGAGAACAAACCTGTGATAATAAAGAAGATTTCATCCAAAATTAGATTTAGCAATATTAATATTCTATAAAATTACAATTCTGATAAATTCAAATTCTACAAAAAAGTGTTTCTTACAAATTGATATTCGGCCAAATTAAATTTCTTACAAATATAAAATCGATCGAATTGACATTCTGACAAATTATAATTCGGACATTCTACTAAATTAGAATTCAAATTAATAAAATGTAGGTAAAGTGGAAATTCCAAACATAAAAGTTAGAATAATTTCAAATTTTTAAGAAAAAGAATTAGTGTAAACTAATATTCTTCATTATGCAGAATATATTAGATGATTATTCTCGACTTTTGACTTATGTTTTTGGTACAGATGAGGTTTGTTCTCGCTAGCTACACCGCTACACTCGAGTGTAACAAGAGTGTAAAACGGAGCATGCGCACTTAAACAAAGTACAAAATCTAGCGAGAACGCAAAAGTGTAGAGAAAGTGCACGAAAAAATGAAAAAAAAATTAACGCTATCTGAATTGTAAACTGTATACAATCTGTAATATATAGTTAGGTTTTATAAATAAATATATGGGTCATTTTATTTAAAACAAACCACCTTATAAACAATTGCCATTGTGAAGCAATTTTTTAAATAATTATTTCTCACATTTATTAAAGCCAAAATTTATTTACTACACTGCAAGCCTGATCAGCGGTCACCCGATCAGTGGTCACTTGTTTACGTCGTTTGTAGATGGGGCGGGCGAGGGGCAAAGAGGGAGTCGAAAAGTTGTGGCAGTAGCGTATACATTAAAGACGCTCTGGCCCCTTAAAAAAAAATTCAGTAGTCAAGTAATGGTAACCCATCATAAAACAGTTCGTACGGTCCTATATGTTCACGCCCGATCAGCGGTCGAGCACCCCCGGAGCTGACCGCTGATCGGGCTTGCAGTGTATTAGTGATTTTAAGAGAAAAATTTATCAGTTTTATGATGTTAAATTTTTTTTTAAATAATAGGATTTATTCCTATTATTCCCTGTAAACTTTATAATGGGCAATTCATGGAAATTTGAGATATTAATTAAATTTTATAAGAATTTCGAAGGTTAAATGTATGTACCGAGCAGAATTTAATTTTTTCAAATTTTTACACAGTTTAAACTCTGACATCTTTGTAAAATTTAATTAATTTCTTAATTTCAACCGATTTGCTCATTAGAATTTTTAAGCTTCATTTTCACATAAGTTTCACGAAAAACGGAAGCGACATGTTTTGAAATATTCTAAAGGTTATCTTTCAAACTTAAGTTTTTTCATAAATTCTATTATTTTTTATAAAATATGTTTACCATCATAAAATTAAGAATTTTTTTTTTAAATTCTACGTAAATAAAGTTTGGTTTTAATAAATGGGAAAATAATTATTTACAAATTGCTTTACAATGTTAATTGTTTATAATGTGGTACTTTATATAAATATTAACAAAATAAGAATTGCTTACTAATAATTTTACAAATTAAAAGTCACTAAGAAATATATTATAATTTTATGTTCATAAAATAATTAATGCATTTTAAATAAAATGTCCATTTACCGCCATTTTAATCAGAACACTCAATTACACTCGCTCGCAATCGGGTGTAATAAAATAGGGAAAAGTGCACGGGCTTCTAGGGAGTTAGGTGTACACTATTGCGTCACTTCTGGTAACGAGAACGCCGTAGTGTACACTTTTGTACAAAGTGTAGAAAGTGTAGCTAGCATGGTCGCCCCGACCTTCCAACGCCGTTAAGCAGTGAGTTTACTTTCTGTGTTCTTCATAGTCACGTTAATCAGAAAAATTCGAATGTGAAACCTGCTTTATATAGATCACGTGACGGACACGTCGCTACCTATGTTCTCAAATCCCATTCTGAACTCCCCTTTAGAGTGTCCGGCAGCAACACTGGAACAGTGTTTAGGTTGACTGTCAGATTGCAATATCAATGTGATTAAGTATACATCACGAAATGGTGATTCAAAATTCAGAATTATTAAATGAAAACGTCGAGAATGTTGATCCAGTTGTGCCAAAAGATCAAAAAGAATATTCTCTAGAAAGTATCCTTTTAATTATTAATAATTTATAAAAAATGGAGAAAAATTTGTCTCCAAAAAAAACCATATGCCAGTTTGATAACCTCAATTATTTTATGGTTACTTTTACTTCTCGCAAGACATTTAAATACTACTGTCGTTTCTATTGTTTTAATAATTTTATTGTTTTTAATTAACTATACATCGATAACTTTAAATAATTATCTTAATTAAAAAATCGGAGTAACTATATTTGTAAGCTCCATTAATTATTTGTCCCGTCACCCCACTTCCATGTATTTCAAGACTCCAAATAAAAGAAAATGTAGTTTATTTGGCCCGTCACTCACCAAAGTGCAATTATTGTACTTGGTGAGTAACTGGTAAGATGTTTAAATTCAATGTTTCATTAAAAAATTCTAAAATTATTTTTCATTAAATTATGAATTATTCCTTTAATATTTATATTGAATAATTATTGGTGTTTAATAAATAAATATTTATGTTTATACCGTATTTATTGTTAATTTTTAAAGAAGTAAAATAAATTTTTAAAATTCAGTTTCTATTCTGAGATTGTTTTCGATGGTAAATCTGTGTTTTTAAATTCTAAAAAATGAGTGACAATAGTGAAGACAGTGGAATCTCGTACACAGTAAACACATAAATTCAACAATTTTACAAAAAGAAACAAAAGTAAAATGAGGGGCTAATAGTAAAAATGGTTTAAAAAACAAATGCGACAAGAATGGGTTATGTTTTTTTATGTGCGTAAGGTATCAATTCAAGGAAACTTTTTACGGAAAAACAAAAGACTGTTGAATTGTAACTTCAGGAAAATTGTGAAAAAAGCTTTAAAGTCTATTCTTGTGGATCTTAGTCAGATTTGGAGAGATGTTCATTATTTTTGAATGAATTCTACAAATTTAATTAAAGGTTTCCTACGTATTATATTATAAAATTAAATTGATAAAAAGGTATTTGATTCAAATAACCAATTACTTGTCTATTATAAAATAAAAAATTGCTTGAATCAAATAATTTTTATTGAAATCAAATAAATCGTATTTGAATCAATAATTTCAGTATTTGGCGCAAATACCATTTAATTGATTTAAATAAAAATTATTTGATTCAAGTAAATAATTACAAACTTCGCACTCGATAATTAATTTTAAAAAAGTTAGTAAAAAGTAGCTTTCAAACTAAAAAAAAAGTAGCTGTCGAAAAAATTAAACTTGACCAAAAAACTCGTTTTAGACACTTCACAAAACTGACGAAAATTCCATTCTATATTTCATTTTACTGACTTTTCCCTATTTTTCATCAAAAATATTTACTTCTTTCTTATACTACTAATAAATTCAATTCCTGCAACGAATTTTATTATTCATTAAAGAATTTAAATATATATAAAAATAATTTAATTCTTGCGGAGAATTTTATTAAAATTTTTAAATAATTGATTTCTTTCGACTAATTTTATACAAATTCTAATTTAAATAATTGAATTCCTGAGAAATTTTTATTACCTATTCATGTAAAGAATTGAATTTTAACGAAGATTTTTACAAAAAAATTTTTAAACATTGAATTCTGTTAGGAAATTTTACGAAAATAGTAGATATTGCAAATTATTGAATTAAGAAAAGTTTTTGAAAATAATTAAATTTTTCAAAGAATGTTATTAAAGTTTTTGACAATAATTGAATGTCTGTGTGGTATTTTATTACAATTTTTTGAAAATAATTGAATTCCTAAAAAGCATTTTATTATTTATGAAAATAATTTAATTCTTGCGAACGATTTTATTAGAATTTTTAAAAATAATTGAATTTTCAAGAAGAAATTTATTACTTTTAAAAATAATTGAATTCTTGTGGAAAATTTTATTTGTGAAAATGATTAAATTTTTCTATTAATTAATTTAGAATAGTATTAAAAATAATTGAAATTCTTTGATAAGTTTTATTATTATGAAAATAATTATTAAATTCTTGCTTAGAATTTTCTCAAAAATTTTTTTTAAAAAATTAAATTTACATGAAATAATGTTATTAGAAGTAAAAGTAATTGAATTATTTTGAGGAATTGTATACAAATTTTGTTAAATAATTGATTTTTTCGAAAATGCTGTTCTAAATTAATTGAATTCATGTGGAAATTTTATTATTTATGAAAATAATTGAATTTTGGATGAATTTTATCAATTTTTTTTAAATTGAATTCTTTTGCAAAATTTGATGAGAATACTAGATATTGAAAATAATTTAATTTTGAATATTTTTTGAAAATAATTGAATCGTTTTAAAGAATTTGATTATAATTTTTTAGAATAGTTTTTTTATTTCTAGTATTAGTGAATTTAAAGTAGTGGAGATTCTCAAGAAAAAAACAGAAATAGTAGATTTTAGTGGCTGAGATCTAAAATAATTACCCAAATAGTAGCATAACATAAAAAAGTAGGTAGTAAATCAAGTAACCGAAAATCAAGTAATCGTTTATTTGAATTAAATAAATTTTTTGTCAGTGTATTATATTTTATGAAAAATTTACAAAAAATATTAAATCTGCTGTTCAAAGTAAAAACCTAGCAACCGTTCACTTAGGTTACCTTAAAAGACTACCACCAACAACATTTTTCATTTGGTCCGTTTTGAAACATGGAAGTGAAATGAAAGGCCAAATAAACAATCCATAAAGAAATATCACAATTTTTTTCGAAATTAGGTACCAATTCATTTTAAAAAATTTATTTATTGTAATAAACTTTTATTTCCTTAACAAATTATCAGTTTTGAAAATAATCAAGGAAGCACAACAGCAACATGGTTTACGTCACAGTGACTATCAACGGTACAGAGGTTACTGTTCAAGACGTTTACGACGTCTTCGAAAAGTCCTCAAAATGCCTCAGGGTGACAGGCGTCACTTCAAACGACGTGACGTCAATTCGGGAATGGTTAGCGATGACAAATTTCTGCAAGTTCCATTGGTAATGGCTGAAAGAGCTTGGAGTTACGCTATGCAATTGCGGCAAGAATCGAACACTGAGCCGAGGAAGAAGTTCCATTTAACATCTCGATTGAGAAAGGCATCAACGTATTCTCTTCAATTACAAGAATTAATAGAGGTGCTTTTTTTATTTCACAATTCTTGTTTTGCTTTTTATTTGTTATTGTTTATTATTTTGATATTTTGTTATTTATTTTGTTCCTTATTGTTTTCTCATTTGTAATATTATTTTATTATTACTTATTGACAGGATTATAATTTTCGAAATATTAACAAAATGAAATTTTTTCAGAGCGTGAATTGCAGTGCTCGCACGAAATTAGAAGCACAAGCTTACGTCGCTTGGATCCACGGTTCTCTGCATTTCGAGCTTGAATTATGGAATTCAGCAATGGAGAATTTAAAGAAAGCTCAAGTTGTTTACGAGAATTTAGCAGCAGCCCTGCCGGAAATGGAGCAAATAATTTACAAAGCTCGAGTTGAGGAGTTGGCTCCGAGTTTAAGATATTGCGCCTATAATATCGGAGACACTTCCGCCATTGACGATTTAATGCAGATGCGAGGTCAACTAAGTGGAGAATTATTAGCCAGCTTGGATGCTCTGATAACTCAGACTCGAGAGAAGCAAACAAATGCCGAGGAAGTTGTGTGGCGTGGAAAATCATGTGGATCGATTCCACCGAGTGCAGCAGCAATTCTAATGGCTGACTCGCAATTGAATCAGGCTTTGACCAAAGCCAATGATCAGCAGGCGAAAATTGATCTTCTTCAAGCGCACTTGAGAGACTATAAAGAAAAGATAAATGATGTTCGCGAGATTTTCAAGAGTGAATTAAAGAACAAGGAACAAGCCACTGCTCCCCAGCATTTGGTGGCTTATCTCCAATACATCAGACTCTCGCGAACTCTAGAGCGCAACGTGGAGATGATCAGAAAGGAAGAATCGGAGAAAGCAAAGCCTTCGAGCATCGTTCGCCTCTACGAAGCGGCGCTTCACAATTTGGTCGAATTGTCCCAACTACAGGATGACGAGGAGTTTATGAAAGAACAGGAAGCGAAGACTAAAGCCTATCGAGCATTTAGATGCTTCTACATGTCACAATCTTTAGCCAATGTTCACCGATGGAAAGATGCAATGGTTCTCTATCAAAGATCCCTGCAGCACACTCAAGACGCTCTTCAAGACGAATCCCTTCTTCCAAAAGATCTAAAAGAATCTTTGATCCAACTAAAGTCCTTGATTGAAGGCGCACAGTACGCATCCCACGCGCACAGCGTTCTAGAAGAGGGTCAAGAAGACGATTCTCCATTAAATAAACAAGTGAAAAGTAAAAAACCCTTATCGGAACGTCTTCATGAATATCGAGAAGATTCTGTTTTACTCAGCAAGCAACCGAATGTTTACAAACTGCCACCACCAATGCAGAGTATCCCGTGTAAACCATTGTTCTTCGATCTGGCATTCAACATGGTCGAATTTCCCGACTTGTCGAATAAATTACAAGATCAAGGCAAGAAAGGACAAGCTGGACTTTCTGGACTTGTCAAAGGTCTTTGGGGATGGGGAAATAAATAAATTGTCTTTCAGTAATTGGATTTTCTAGGTCAAAGTGATCAACTGTATTTTAAGGACATCTAAAGCACTTGTTTTCAATCCAAAATTGGTTAACAGCTAGAATAAGAGGATTGTAAATTGGAGATATCTTTATCACCAGAAATTTGTTCTGAAAATTATTATACACAATGTTTTTATTTTAACATTGTACAATATTGTTTAATTTCTTAAATATAAATTGTTTGAGAAAGCAAAAGGAAGTGTTATTCTTGTTTGTTCCAAATTTTCTAATCGAGCGAAATTTAATTAAAAGTTGTGATTTTTTTAGTAAAACGTCAAATCAAAATTCATCGAATAATCAGTGTTGCCACGCTTTTACTCATTTGAAATTCTCTGAATTTTCCAGGTCAAAAAACGGAATTTTCCCAGGTTGACACAAAAATTTAATTTTGTTTTTCTCTTACTTCTCTCTAATTTCGAGACAAAATTTTTACTTTTGCCCTGAAGAATAATCTGAATCAAACTAAAAATAATTAGATACTAAAAGAAAAGGTTCTATTATATTTATTTACGAATTTCTCGAATTGTAAAATTATTTGAAAACATCAATAACTTTATTCTTAAATAAATATTTAATCATTATTATTTTTCCACAGGAATTAGGATTTTCAAAAAATTTTTATTCAAACCTTTTGAAATTCTATAACTTATAAGAATATTTTTATAAAACATGAAAATATTGATCACTCCGAGTCTTCGACACGGAGTGATCGATGTATTCATGTTTTGTAATAATTTAAATTTCCATAAAATTTTAAAAAATATTAAATTATTTACAAAAATTTTAAGAAAATCCTTCACAAGAATTCAATTATTTTTACAATTAATAAAATTTTTCACAAGAATTCAATTGTTTCAAAAAAGTAATAAAATTCGTTTGCAAGAATTAAATTTTCATAAATAATAAAATTTTTCATAGGTTTTCAGTTATTTTTAATACAATTTCAAATGAATTCCTCTAGAAATGTAATTATTTTCAAAAATTTTTTGCAAGAATTCAATTACATTTCACAAATAAAGAAATTCTTCGCTGAAATTCAAATATTTTCCAAATATACTATATTAACAAAATTTTTCAAAAGAATTCAATTAATTAAAAAAAATTTTGTAAAATTCGTTGCAAGAATTCAATTATTTTCATAAATAATAAAATTCTTCACCGGATTTCAAATATTTTAAATACAATTTTAAGTAAATTCTTCAAAAAATGTAATTATTTTCAAAATATTTATTAAAATTCTTCGAAAAAATTCAATTATAAATTATCAATTATCAATTATTTTTAATAATTTTTGCAAAAGTTCCTTGAGAATTTTCAAATCCATTTCTTTACAATATTCAATTTTACGAAATTTCGATTATTCGGAAATTCTTCAATTAAATATTTAGAATATAAAAACTTTAAATAATTTCAAAAAAAATTCAATTAAACTTTTTCAAAAAAATTATTTCTATAGAATTATCAGTTAAAAGCATGAAAAATTCAAATTTTTAAAAATTTTCATTTGAAACCTTTTCAAAATTCAATTATTTCTAAAAATTCACACTATTATACATTCAATTATAATCTAACATTTTAACTGAAATTAATTTTTAAATCAATTTTTATTAGAAAATTTTACGAGAATTCAATTATTTAAATACAAAAATAATTTATTGAATAATTGAATATTTCTTAATATTGAATTCTCATAAAGAAAGTTACCAACAATTTTTTATGTAATTGAATTCTGTTGACGAATTTTAATAAAATTTTTAAGAATAATTACATTTGAAATGTTACAATTAGTTTCATTATTTTAGAAAAAAATTTAATTCCTAAAAAGAATTGTATTATTTATGAAAATAATTGAATTTCTAAAAAGAATTTTATTTATTTAAGAAAATAATAATTGAATTCCTTCATAAAAATTTTATAAACATTGTTTTAAATAATTAAAATTTTTGAAAATATTTGAAATTTGGCAAGAATTTTATTAAAATTCTCAAAGTAATTGAAATTTTGATGAGAATGTTTAAAAATTTTTGAACATAATTGAATTTCTGCGAAAAATGTTATTTTTTTAAAAATAATTGAATTTCTGCAATCAGTTGTATCTTTTACAAAATTCAATTTTTTTTACTGTTTTTAACTCAAATTCTTCTCTAAATTAATTATTTTTAATAATTAATTAAATAAATATTCATAATTTAACTAATTTTGAAACAATGTGAATTTAAAAATTTTTTTAAAAATCTATTTGGAATTTCTAATTTAATGCATTATAAAAATTGAAATTTTCTAATATGAGCAACAGAATACTGCGACTCGTAACTTCGTAAGTTTCCAGCCTACTCCAAATGTGATATCTTTAGATACCCCCACTACCTGAGTTTCACCTCCTGGTTTCTAGGAGTTTCTAGTCTTCTTGAATTTATCTTACATGCCCAACAAATTCGAGAATGATAAAAATAGCTCAACATCCGGCATCGTTTATCAGTAGTTATTATTTGTTCATGTAATTCGGACAATTTCGTTGAATTTTTATCGAAAATTATCTATCAAAACCATACTTTTTTACCTTAAATTCCGCATCACCAATCTCAAAATTTTTCATTTTACTTGAAGCCAACGAAAATAAGTAAATAATTGAAAATGGAGCAACAATTAAAGGAATTGGCTCTTGATTTTTTCAACGTGGGTGCTATTAAATTCGGCGAATTCGTGACAAAAGTCGGTTTATTAACACCTATTTATGTGGACTTGAGAGTTTTAATTGCTCACCCTAAAATAATGGTAAGTTTCTTTCAAAAGTTTAAACGAAATGTAATATTTACATTGAAAATTTTCCATGAGAAGAACTTGTTGATTTAGTGGATAATAATAATAAATCAAATCTATAGATTTAAATTATTTAACTTTTATGAAAATTGTTTATAATTGACGAGATTTTTGAATCTTTGCAGAAGTAACATTTGAGAGACAATTACTTTAAAAAATTGTATCAAAAATTTCATTATTTCGTATTTTAAACAAAAAAACAAATTTAATTCTGACATTTTGGTGGAAAGGTAAAGAATTTAATATTTAACATTTTAATATTTAAAGTTGCAATTGAATAAAAATTACAATTTTTTTCAATGTGAAACGATTTAGATAACATAACCAAAAATTTAACAATATTTCTTAATGTTAATCTTAAATAATATACCTAGAAATTTCCACCGGAATTCAATAAATTTAGAATAGAATTTTCAAAAAAAATTTCATAAACAATAATACTCATTCAAGAATTTCAATTATTTTTAATACTATTTTTAAATTAATTAATCAAAAAATTCAATTATTTTCACAAATGAATTTTTCCACAAGAATTCAATTGTTTAAAATAAAATTTTCATAGTATTTATTATATTTAGAAAAAATTAATTATTTAAAACAATGTTTATAAAATTCTTATGAAGAATTCAATTATTTTCAAAAATAACAAAATTTTTAACAGAAATTCAAATCTTTTTAAACATTTTAATAAAATTTTTTGCAATAATTCAATTATTTTCATAAATAATAAAAATCATCGCAGGATTTCAAATATTTTTAATACAATTTTACAGGAATTATTCAAAAAATGTAATTATTCTTAAAAATTGTATTTCAATTCATCAAAAAAATATTTTTTTTAAAATTCTTTGGAGGAATTCAATTATTTATCAATTATTTGAAAAAAAATTTAGTTAAATTTTTTTGAAATAATTTAATTATTCTTTTTATTTTAATAAAATTCTCCCCAAGAATTTAATTATTTACATAAATAATTTTTCGAAAGAATTCAATTATTTAAGATAAATAACAAAATTATTCCCGAAAATTTAATTATTTTGAGGCATTTTAACAAAATTCTTTGCAAAATTCAATTGTTTTCATAAATAACAATATTCATCACAAGAATTCAATTATTTTTAAAAGTAATAAATTTCTTCTTGGAAATTCAATTATTTAAAAAAAAACAAAATTTTTCACTAAAATTTAATTCTTTTTAAATAAAATTTTTCGCAATATGTAATTCAATTATTTTCATAAATAATAAAATATTCTTCTCAGGAATTCAATTAATTAAAAAAAAGTGTAATAAAAATTTGTTGCAAGAATTCAATTATTCTCCTAATAAATAATAAAATTCTTAACAGGATTTCAATTATTTTTAATACAATTTTAAGTCAATTCTCCAAAAAATGTACCTAATTATTTTCAAAGATTTTATTAAAATTCTTCGAAAGAATTCAATTATTATTTTTAATACAATTTTAAGTAAATTCTTCGAAAAATGTAATTTTTTCAAAATTTTTATTAAAAGTATGAAAAATTCAAATTTTCAAAGATTATAATTTGAAACCTTTTCAAAATTCATGCTATAATGCTTTTTAAATTCAATTATAATCTAAAATTAATTTTCTAATCAATTTTTATTAGAAAATTCTACGAGAATTAAATTATTTTAAAAAATTCTAATAAAATCGTTGGCAAAAATTCAATTATTTTCGTAAATAATAAAATGCTTTTTAAGAATTAAATTATTTTTTAAAAAATTTGTAAAATTGTAAAAAATTTTAATAGAATTCTTTGTAAAATTGAATTATTTTTAAAAACTTTTCGCAACTCAATGATTTTCAATATCTACTATTTTCATAAAATTTCCAAACAGAATTCAATTATTTAAAATTTTTTTTGTAAAAATCTTCTTAAGAATTCATTTCTTTTCAGGAATAAATAAAAATTTCTCATGAATTCAATTATTTAAATTAGAATTCGCATAAGAAAGAAGTAAATATTTTTGATGACAATTAGGAAAAAGTGAGGAAAATAAAATATAGAATGGAATTTTCGTCAGTTTTGTGAAGTGTATAAAAAGAGTTTTTTTGGTCAAAGTTTAATTTTTTCGACAGCTACTTTTTTTTTAGTGTGAAAGCTACTTTTTACTACTTTCTTAATTAACATAGATAATGTAGATATAATGAATAATAGTTAACATAAACATTAAATTTTTTTAAAAATAATTTTTAATGAAACTAAAATTTCCTTTTCAGCAAAAATTATCACGAGCTCTATGGGAATTATCAAATAATAAGTTATCAAATATAACGCAAATCTGCGGAGTACCTTATACAGCCTTACCAATTGCAACAATCATTTCAGTTGAATCAAACATTCCAATGTTGATTCGGCGAAAAGAAGCAAAAAGTTATGGGACCAAGAAATTGATCGAAGGACAATTTGAATCTGGAGAGCACTGTGTAATTATAGAAGATATTATTACAAGTGGAAGCAGTGTTCTCGAAACTGCCAAAGATTTACAAAACGAAGGCTTAAAGGTAACCGAAGCATTAATTGTCGTAGACAGAGAGCAAGGCGGACGGCAACATTTGGAAGACCACGGAATTAAAGTATTGAGTCTATTTACTCTTAGCAAAATTATTAAATACCTCGTGGAAGCTGAGAAAATTGATAGAGATGTCGCAGAAAAAGTTTCAAACTACTTGAAGAATTCGCAAGCTCCTTTGAAATTGAATAAACAAGGTATATTGAATTAATATTAATAATTATCAAAATTAAGTGGGTGCCAGTTGCAGCTTCATAAATTTTATTCAGGGTTGCCACAAGTTAGGGAAATCAGGAAATTCAGGAAAAGTAGAATTCGACGGGGAAATCAGGGAAAAGTCAGGGATTTTTATTAAAGTACTGGAAAAAATTGAATTTTGGAGAAGTTACATAAATGATTGCAAAAATTCAATTATTTTCAAAAGTAATAAAGTTCTTCGCAGAAATTCAATTATTATGTTCAAAATTTTTTTTTAATTTTCATAGAAATTTCAATTATCTTTATAAATAATAAAATTCTGCTCCAAAATTCAGTTATTTTTAAAAATATTAATAAAGTTATTCGAAAGTATATAATAATTTTAGAAATTTTAATGAAATTCTTTTAAACGATTTGATTATTTTCAATACAATTTTAATTAAATTTCTCGAAATAATTTAACTGCTTTAAAATTTTTTATAAAATTCTTCGAAACAAAATTAACGAGCTTCTTGGTATTTGATTGCAGATTCTCCACTTCCCTCAAAAAATAAAAAAAATAAATATATAAAATTTCTATAAAAAATTTAATTATTTTCGAAAATTTTATTAATATTCGTCGAAAAAATTCAATTACTTAGGTACTTAAAAATTTGTCGGTAAAATTTTTTATGAGAATTAAATTTTAAGAAACATTTATTTTTTCAATAAAATATTTTTTTTGTATTTTAAATAATTGAATTCTCGAAGAATTTTCTAATAAAAATTGATTTATAAATGAATTTCAGTTAAAATTTAAAAAAAATAATAAATTGAATATTGAAAGCATTTTAGCATGAATTTTGAAAAGGTTTCAAATGAAAATCTTTGAAAATTTAAATTTTTCATATTATTAACTGATAATTCTGTAAAATTAATTTTTTTTAAATGTTTAACTGAATTTTTTTTTAAAGTTTCTATTTTCTAAATATTTAATTGAAGAATTCCCGAATAATCGAAATTTCATAAAATTGAATTGAAAAGAAATGCATTTGAAAATTCGAAAAGCAAAATTTTTGCAAAAATTATTAAAAATAATTGATAATTGAATTCTTTCGTAGAATTTTGATAAAAATTTTGAAAATAATTACATTTTTTAAAAAATTTACTTGAAAATATATTAAAAATAATTGAATTTGTTTCGAAGAATTTTAAAAAAAATTTTTGAAAATAATTACATTTTTCGAAGAATTTACTTAAAATTGTATTTAAAATATTTGAAATCCTGTGAAGAATTTTATTTTTTATGAAAATAATTGAATTCTTGCAACGAATTTCTATTATATTTTTTTTAAATAATTGAATTCATATGAAAAATTTTATTACTTGTAAAAATAATTGAATTCTCGTAGAATTTTCTAATAAAAATTGATTTAAAAATTAATTTCAGATAATAATTGAATATTAAAAGCAATATAGCATGAATTTTTAAAAATATGTAAATGAATTTTGAAAAGGTTTCAAATTATAATCTCTGAAAATTTGAATTTTTCATACTTTTAACTAACAATTCTGTATAATTATTTTTTTTAAAAAGTTTAATTTTTTTTTTATTTGAAATTATTTTAAGTTTTTATATTCTAAATATTTAATTAAAGAATTTCCAAATACTTAATTAAAATTTTGTAAAATTGAATTGTAAACAAATGGGTTTAAAAATTCTCAAGGAACTTTTGCAAAAAATTTTTAAAATAATTGATAATTGAATTCTTTCGGAGAATTTTAATAAAAATTTTGAAAATAATTATATTTTTCGAAGAATTTATTTAAAATTGTATTAAAAATAATTGAATTCTTTCGATGAATTTTAATAAAATTTTTAGAAAAAATTTAATTTTTCGAAGGATTTACTTAAAATTGTATTAAAAATAATTGAAATCCTGTGAAGAATTTTATTATTTATGAAAATAATTGAATTCTTGCAACGAGTTTTATTAAATTTTTTTTTAATATAATTGAAATCCTGTAAATAATTTTATTATTTTTGAAATTAATTGAATTCTTGCAACAAATTTTATTACATTTTTTAAAATAATTGAATTCTTTTGAGAAATTTTATTAAAATAGTAGATTTTAAACACATTTAAATTTCAGCAAACAATTTCATTATTTGTGAAATGTAATTGAATTCTTGCAAAACATTTTTTTATTTATGAAAATAATATTGAATTTTTACAATGATTTTTATCACATTTTTCTAAATAATTTAATTCATGTGGAAAATTTGATTACAAAAATAATTGAATTGTTGCGAAGGATTTTCTTAAAATTTTTGTAAAATACATCAATTTTTTTTGAAAAATTTAATGGAAATAAAATCACTCGGAGTGATTGATATCTGTATGTTTTATAATAATATTCTTATAAATTGTTGAATTTCATAAAGGTTTGAATTAGAAATTTTTTGAAAATCTTAATTTTTATGGAAGAATAATAATGATTAAATATTTATTCAAAAAAGAATTTATCGATGTTTTTGAATAATTTTACAATTAAAAAAATTCGTAAATAAATGTAAAAGAACATTTTTTTGAGTATCAAATCATTTATTCATTTTATTTGTTTTTATTAAATTTTATTTTATTTATTATTTTTACAGTGAATTCAAAATATCTTTCGGGTCAGGAAAAAAGGAAAAATTTTGTCTGGAAATCAGGCAAAAAGAAAATTAAATTTTTTTGTGGCAATCCTGTTATTACTATTTTTAATATTTATTTATTTCAATTTTCGATATAAGGACTAATTATAAATTATAATTTCAATTAATTAATTTTCAGAGTCAAATGAAGAGCGTTTGAAGATGGACTTCGTCACTCGAGCAAAACTAGCGAAAAATCCGTTAGCGAAAAAACTCTTGTTCCTTATGGACAGGAAACAGACAACACTGTGTTTAGCAGCTGACTTAACAGACGCGGAAAAAATTCTCGAATTAGCCGAATTAGCAGGAGAACACATAGCAGTATTAAAAATTCACGTCGATATTATAGTGAATTTCTCTTCTGACTTTATTACTCGACTTCAAGAGTTATCGAAAAAATACAATTTTCTGATAATGGAAGATAGAAAATTCGGAGACATTGGACATACAGTTTCACTGCAATATCGAAATGGAATTTATAAAATAGCCGAATGGGCGGACATTGTAACCGTGCATCCGCTGCCAGGAAAAGGAGTGATCGAGGGATTGAAGCACGGTCTCAATGATCTAACAGAAATTCGCGGTATTTTCCTTGTGGCAGAAATGTCTTCTGAAGGAGCACTAACAACCGGAAATTATCTTTCTCAAGCTGTCTCCTTGTCAGAGGATATTAGTTTGGTATCTGGCGTTGTTTGCCAGTCAAATATTTTTTCAGACCCTGGATTAATTCAACTCACTCCTGGAGTGAAATTAGAAAAATCCGGAGATAACTTGGGACAAAAGTACAATACTCCAGAGGATGTTGTGAACTCTGGAGCAGATTTGGCTGTTGTTGGCAGAGGAATCACTGAAGCATCTGATAAACTTAGCGCTGTGATTGAATACAAAAGACAGTTGTGGGATGCTTATGAAAAGAGAATCGTTAAACAATAAGTCAACAGTTCCTCAACGATTAATAAGTCATTGATATTTGTACATACAAGCGACAAATGCTTATTTTTTTAAGCCAAAAACTTTTATATTAAATGAAATAAAACACTTATTCTCTTATAAAAGGAGTTTTCAATTAGTTAATTAACATAAGTCATAAATTGCTGATATAAAAACATGAGCACTACGCTCTTCCGTACTTTCAAATAATAAATAACAGCCTTCGCACTCATCTACTAAAACCTACTATTTACTACTTTTTTTACATTATGCTACTATTTGGATACTTTTTTTTAAGATTTCAGTCACTAAAAACTACTATTTCTATTTTTTGAGAATTTCCACTACTTTGAATTCGTTAATTCTAGAAATCAAAAAACTATTCGAAAAAATTATAATCAAATTCTTTAAAACTATTCAATTATTTTCAGAAAATATTCGAAGTTCAATTATTTTCAATATCTAGTATTTTCATGAAATTTCCCAAAATAATTCAATTATTAAAGAAAAATTGATAAAATTCATCCAAAATTCAATTATTTTCATAAATAATAAATTTTCCGCAGAAATTCAATTAATTTAGAATAGCATTTTCCAAAAAATCAATTATTTAACAAAATTTCTATACAATTCCTCAAAATAATTCAATTTTAAGCAAGAATTCAATTATTTTCACAAATAAGGTTTTCCACAAGAATTCAATACCTATTATTTCAAATAAAATTTTCATAATATTTATTATATTTCGAAAAAATTAATTATTTAAAACAATGTTTATAAAATTCTTATGAAGAATTCAATTATTTTCAAAAATAACAAAATTTTTCAGAGAAATTCAATTCTCTTTAAACATTTTAATAACATTTTTCACAATAATTCAATTACTTTCACTGATAATAACTTTTTTTTATGAAAATTCAATTTTTTAAACAAATTTTTGATAAATTTCTAAGCAAGAATTCAATTATTTTCATAAATGATAAAAGTCGTCGAAGAATTTCAATTATTTTTAATACTATTTTAAATTAATTAATCGAAAAATGCAATTATTTTCGCAAATAAAGTTTTCCACCAGAATTCAATTATTTAAAATAAAATTTTCATAATATTTATAATATTTCGAAAAAACTAATTATTTAAAACAATGTTTATAAAATTTTTATGAAGAATTCAATTATTTTCAAAAATAACAAAATTTTTCACACAAATTTTTCACTATTTTTCACACGAATATTTTAATAACATTTTTCGCAATAATTCAATTATTTTCATAAATTATAAAATTCTTCTCAAGAATTCAATTAATTTTGAAAATCTTAATAAAATTCTTAGCAACTATTCCATTATTTTCATAAATAATAAAATTCATCGCAGGATTTCAATTTTTTTTAATACATTTTTATAGGCATTTCTCAAAAAAATGTAATTATTCTTAAAAATTTAATTTCGATTTCTCGAAAAAATTAATTATTTAAAAAAATGTTTTTTAAATTCTTTGAAATAATTCAATTATTTACAAAAATATTGTAATTTTTGACAGGAATTCAATTACATATTTTGAAATATTTTAATAAAATTGTTAGAAAGAATTTAATTATTTCAAATACAATTTTAATTAAATTTCAATCTTTGAAATTCTAATTGCTGTAAAAGTATAGGTAATAATATTTATATAAATATATAAAAAAAATAAAAAAATAAAAAAATAAATAAAAAAAAATAAATAAAATAAAAATAAAAAAAATAAAATAAATAAAAATAAATAAATAAAATATAAATAATAAATAATAATAATAAATAATAAAAATAAATAAATAAATAAAAATAAATATATAAATAAAATAAAAATTTTAAATAATATTATTCAAAGATTCGAAAAAAATAATTTAATATTTTAGAAGACTAACAGTTTAAATTTTCATAAAAAATTGTTCAAATGGTTTTACATTGAAAGTATTTCGAAATCTTAAGCAAATAAAGAACAATAAGTAAGTATTTAAATATTTATTTTACAAAAATGATTGAAATTTGAAAGATTTAATTTGGAAATTTTGAAAAAATTAGGTTTTATTTAAAAAATAGTAATAAAATTTTTTGAAGATGTACTTGAATTCCCGAAAATAATTTAAAAAAACAGAAACAATTCAAAACTTGATAAAATTTTATATTTTAAAGAATTTTATTTTTCATCTTTAAAAATTATCTATACATATAATAGGTACGTTTTCGTTGCCTGCATGCACTAAGTGTAACTTTTACACCACCTCAAGAGTAGGTGCAGAAAGTGTAGCGAAATGTATGGTAAAATTACATCACATCCGGCAAAGAAAACAGCATAGTGCAGGTTAGGTGTTAAAGTGTAAGAAGTGCAGGCAACGAAAACATACCTAATTGTATTTTTGAAAATTCATTATTTTATGAATTTACAAAAATTATTCTAATTATAATATAAATAATTTATTTTTCGTCGTTGAATTGATTTAAACAAAATTTCAGTTGAAATTTTAAAAAATTGAATATTGAAAGCGTTAGGAATTTTAGGAATCAATTGAATTTTAAAAGGTTTTTGCATTAAATTCCTTGAAAATTTAAGCGAAGCAAATTCTTAAAGTTTTTCAATAATTTTATGTAAAGGTTCTCAAAAATAATTGATTCTGGAAGAATTACAGCTGCAATTTTTAGAAAAAATTTGAAAAAAGTAATTAAAATTTTTTAAAAAATATTTCCGAATATAATTTTAAAAAATTGAAACAATTGAAAATTTTGTCAAAATTCGTTGAAATAAATTTAATATTTTAATGAATTTTATTTGTTTACTTTTCAAAAATTATGTTGAAATATAATCGTATTTTTAATGAATTCTAATTTAAAATTTGGAAAATAATTGAATTTTAAAAAAATTTAGAAAAAACTTATTACCAGGATAGTTCCTAATTGGAACTCAAGTACCATTTGAAAGATCAATTATTTAATCAAAAATATCTTATATTCAAGTTGATGTTAGAAATATCTTGGCGATTTTTATACGAGTTGTTCAAATAATTAAATTTAAAGAAAAACTGAAAAATTATATTTTTTAAAAAATGGTGAATTTTTATTAGATTTTAAAAAGTAATTTTTTAAAGTAACAATGGCAAAGAACATTTCTCGCGTGCTTGAGCGCGTGTTGTTTTATTAGTTTTTCTATAAATAGCAATTAATAGAAAAGGGAAATAAATAGTTATAGAATCCAAACAATTTAATTAGTTTCTATATTTTAGCTGTATTATAATATAAACTTTTAGTTTCGTATATTTTAAACCATTTGTATTTTTAATACGTAAATTATTCTAAAAAAAGTAAGAAAGTTAGTTGCACTCAAAATTTTTTAGAAAATAGGAAAATTAAGAACCATTAATAAAATTTTTAATTTCTAAAAATTAATGTTATTATGTAATTCAATTTTAAAAAAATTATTTGTACGGCCACGATGGACAAAGTTAATTAAATTCACTTATATGCATTTTTCCAAGTGACGTTTTATTGACGCAGTATTACCTCCTGTCATTTTAAATTTAACATTTGTTTCACATAATTTGCATTTCGCCATTTTTAAGTTTTCATGAAAAAAAATCTCAAAAAATTGTGCGAATAGGATTGACTACTTTTCTTCCTTCTTTTAACAGGGTTTGAAATTTTGTCTTGATCATCTTTCCTACAGTAATAATGCAAAAGATAGTATAATAACAAGTATTTTATTGTGTAAACGGAATTAATTAATAAAAAGTTTTAGATGAAAATTATTAATGATATTTAAAAATATTACTGAATACTATTTGAACTAGATTCTTCTGCACGTTTTTCGCTCGTATCTTGATTAATTAATTAACTTCATGTATATTTGTCATATTTTTATTTAAATCAAGTGAATTTGTCATTTCTACTAGCAAGTAGTAGTTTTTTTACGCTGTGTCTATTTCGCCCGTCATGAAAAATTAGTAAGTAGGGGGAAACGGGCGAAATAAAAATAGTAAATTATTTCGCCCATCATGAAAAATAAGTAAAAATATGTAAAACGGGCGAAGTAGCAATGACACATTGCTTCGCCCGTTTTTGGTTTTTTAATTAATTTTAATTGGAAAAAGGTTAGCTTGTCACTTGTATATTTTTGTGAAGATTGAATTAAAAACTTAAAAAGTTGTGAATTTTTATAATAATTCACAAAGTTTCTTTGTTTATCAATATTTTTGATGCTCATTAGTAATTTTCTACATAATATTTTATAAAATAAACTAGATTATGTATTTTAATATTTTTTCTACCTATCTACATGTAGACTAAAAACATTAATTTTTAGAAAATTCTTATTATTTTTGTTCAAATCAGTTCAAAAGTATATTAACTCAGTTTTGGAAAATAAGTTTTATGATACTATTTTTGAAAGAAAAATTTAGAAATAATTTTATTTTTTTTTATTTTGATTGACAAAAACATTTTTTTTTAAAGAAAGTGTGAAAGTGTGAAATTCATTTTAAAACTTAAATAAAGAAACTGTACTTTTTTTAAAAATGAGCTACACATAATTATTTGAATTTGGTGTGAAGGTTACTAACCTGACTTGAACACACTTCTTTTCATTTCTGTCATTCACCTTAAAAATTTAAAATTTTTCAATGGTATTATAGGAATAACTATATAACGGGCGAAATAATTCATTGCTCTTATTTCGCCCGTTGTCCCCCACCTACGTATTTTTAGTGACGGGCGAAATAATTCATCACTCTTATTTCGCCCGTTTGCGGGCGAAATAGACAGAGCGTTTTTTTTACTAAAAATTAGTTAAAACTGTAAAAATTAGTTTCACAGAAAATTATTATATACTTTAAAATTAAAACGTAATAAATGATGAGTATAGATAAAAACCTCAAATAGTACTGTTAATAGCATCATTATTTATGATAAAAAATTCAATTATCTTTATATTTATTTTTTCAAAACAGTTAATAAAGTCAATTGCAGGTACACTATGACTAGAAAGTACAAGAAACCAAAAGGTAAAACACGTGGAACGCTAGTAGTGGGGGTTCGTAAAGACGACGACGAATTCGTAGTAGGTTGGAAACTTACAAGGCGCAGTAGTCTTCTGCTGGCACATATTGCCTAAACAGGTGTTAATAAAAAGGCGAAGATTATTCATTTCTACTGCGACTCGTAAATTTCCCTATACTCAACAGTCAACACCTTTCGCACTTTACCATTTTCTACGTGTTCAGGTGTTCTTGCTGTGCCCTTACTACCAAAGTTTCACAAAGTTTTATCTCCTGGCTGTCTGCCACGTGGAGATAGGAAAAAATTCTCGTGTTAGATAAAAACTTGAATTTCAACGGTAAAAATATCAATATTCAACAAGTTGAATTTCGTTTTGAAAAAAGTAATAATACAATTTTTAATGTATGATTTATTTCAAAAACATACTCAAGTCTTTTTTAACAGAAATTTTAAAATTGATTATCAAAGGAATCATCAAATAATATATTAAATTTATCTATTTAAATATTAAGTCTAAAAAAAAATTTTCATATTAGAAGACTCTTTTCCAAATTTATTTATATGTATTTCAATTAATTTTAGAGCTGAAAATTTGATGAAGTAATGGAAGAAGAACTCCAAGAACTTGCTGTTGCTTTGTACGATGTTGAAGCCGTTAAATTTGGTGAATTTACATTGCAAAATGGATGGAAAACTCCAATTTATATTGATTTGAGGGTAATAATTTCATATCCAAAATTAATGGTGAGTAGATTTTCTTTATTTTCATTTGCTTCTTTATTTAGAAATGATTTTTTTTTTATTTTTGTACAGTTATAGAACCATTTTCAAATAATTATTAGATGTCATTTTCAAAATTTTATAGTGAATTCAAAAGCATTTTTATTTTTTTTTGTACTTTTCAATTCCAAAACTCTTTTTTCATAAAAAAAATTATAATATAACCCCTCTTTTTTCAAACCTTATTTTTTAATTTTCACAAAAATATCTTTTTTTTTAAAATCTTTTATCATTTTCATTGGAAAGATGAGATTTTTTCCAATAAATTATGTAAACTCTAAAAATGGGATAACAGTGGGTTTTCAAGAAAATGGAAAAAAACCAATTTCTTAAACACATTTTATTGACAACCCATTGTTGTCCGATTTTTAAACTTTACATAATATACTAGAAAAAATCTCAGCTTTCTAGTAAAAATGATAAGAAAATAAAAAAGAGGTAGTTTCTGTAAAGCTTATAAAACATATATGGTTTATTTTTGACAAAAGAGTTTACATTTGTGTCTTATTCGAAAATCAATTATTTTCAATGTCTAGTATTTACATGAAATTGCACAAAAGAATTCAATTATTTCAAAAAAATTAATAAAAATCATCCAAAATTCAATTATTTTCATAAATAATAAAATTTCCACAAGAATTTCAATTAATTTAGAATAGCATTTTCAAATAAATTTGGAAAAAATAAATTATTTAACAAAATAATTCAATTACTTTCACTAATAATAACAATTTTCATGAAAATTCAATTTTTTTAAAAAATTTTTGATAAAATTCTAAGCGAAAATTAAATTAATTTAATAAATAAGAAAGCTCGTCGAAGAATTTCAATTATTTTTAATACTATTTTAAATTAATTAATCGAAAAATTCAATTATTTTCACAAATAAAGTTTTCCACAAGAATTCAATTATTTAAAATCAAATTTTTATAACATTTATTATAATTCATAAAAATTAATTATTTAAAACAATGTTTATAAAATTCTGATGAAGAATTCAATTATTTTCAAAAATAATAAAATTTTTAACATAAATTCAATTCTTTTTAAGCATTTCAATAAATTTTTCGGAGTAATTCAATTATTTTAATAAATAATAAAATTTATCGTAGAATTTCAATTATTTTTAATACAATTTTTACAGAAATTGCTCACAAAATGTAATTATTTAAAAAAAACATTTTTCCAAAATTCTTTGGAAGAATTCAAGTATTTTCAAGTATTTTAATAAAATTGTTCGAAAGAAATCAATTATTTTAAATACAATTTTAATTAAATTTGTTTTTAAATAATTCAATTAATTATTCTTTTAGAATTTAATAAAATTCTTCCCATGAATTCAATTATTTACATAAATAATTCTTCGAATGAATTCAATTATGTCGATAAATAATAAAATTATTCCCGAAAAATCAATTATTTTGAGGTATTTTAATAAAATTCTTTGCAAAATTCAATTATCTTCATAAATAACAATATTCATCACAAGAATTCAATTATTTTTAAAAGTAATAAATTGTTTCTTGGAAATTCAATTATTTAAAAAAATTCTAATAACATCGCTGGCAAGAATTCAATTATTTTCATAAGTAGTAAAATGTTTTTTAGGAATTCAATTATTTTCAAAAAAATTTAATAAAATGCCACACAGACATTTAATTATTGGCAAAAATTTTAATAGAATTCTTTGTTAAATTTAATTATTTTTAAATTTCCAAACAGAATTGAATTATTTAAGGTACTACTACACTTTAGAATTTTAAAAAATTTTATTTTTTTTATTGTATTTTTTAACTCTTTATGACTTCAGAAAGCACCTCCTAAAGTATTTATAACCAATTGTAAAAAACAAAAGTAAATTTTTCAAAAAATATTCAATTAATGTAAAAAGTCATTGACAAATTAAATAAGTCTTTAAGGGGATGGTGGGGTCCAGCTTTTTGTTACTACCAGTAGAAACATTGGTGCTAATGTATGTAACAGTGTCTGACATAAAAAAATGGTGGGGTTTCAATTTGCAAAAGAATTTTAGGTAATTTATGGATGGCCTCTAACGATACATATAAGTTTAAACGCGTTTTTCTCAAATTGCGGACATTTTATCTCTGAATCTACTGAACCGATTTTAATAAATGATAACTCGTTTTGTTTGTTAGCATGTCCTGTGTGACAATTTACCAGAAAATGGTCAAAAAATTTTAAAAAAACATTTTTGCAGACTAGAAAAATACAGAAAAACATAGTGTATTTTGACAAAAATTATTGAAACATCTGCTATTTTTTTATTTTAGTCGATTTTTCATTATTGGTGGTAGATTTCTATGCAAGACACCTTCCTTTTTAAAAAGCAATTTGGATTTTTTGTTTCCGATTTGTCAATCTTGAGATAAACTGTCCGCAATTGGACAACTAACTTTTTGGAGTTTCGATCTGAATGCTGTCTGCAGATTATGATATTAAATAAAAATTAAAAACAAACCATTATTTTTATTCTCCAAATATGTACTAATATAGGCAAAAAAGTTTTTTAAATATTTATAATAAAAGATCTGAGAAAAAATTTTTTAAATTTGGTCTTTTAAGAGCCTTCTAAAGTGTAGTAGTACCTTAAAAAAATTTTTGTAAAAATCTTCCAAAGTATTCAGTTTTTTTCATGAATAATAAAAATTTCTAAGGAATTCAATTATTTAAATTAGAATTGTAAATTAGAATAAGTATTGTATATTTTTGATGAAAATTAGGAAAAGTTAGGAAAACAAAATATAGAATGGAATTTTTGTCAGTTTTTTGAAGTGTCTAAAACGAATTTTTTTGGTCGTCAATTTTAATTTTTCGATAGTTACTTTTTTACTACTTTTTTTAGTTTGAAAGCTACTTTTTGATACTTTTTTTTAAAACTAATTATCGAGTGCGAAGTCTGAAAAATTAAAATCGCTTGATTTTTCTAGAAGATATGTCAATATTTGAATAAAACAATGTCCTTATAATCTAATTTTTTTGATTAGATCAGTTTACATAAAATTGCTCATAATTTGAAAATTTATAACTCATACAAGGTCAACTACATAATTAAAAAAAAAAACTATTGAAAATTAGTTTATTTTTAAAAATGTCGAATTTTTAATTATTTGTAACAAACTATTTGATCTGTTTCAGAGTAAATTATCAAAATCATTATGGAAACTTGCCAAGGATACAAACTACGTTTCGCACATATGTGGAGTTCCCTACACGGCTTTACCAATAGCTACAATTATTTCGGTTGAATCAAATATTCCAATGTTGATGAAAAGAAAAGAAGCGAAGTCTTATGGTACAAAGAAGTTAATCGAGGGAAAATTTGAACCAGGAGACAAATGTGTCATCATCGAAGATGTTATAGTTATTGGTGCAAGTGTTTTGGAAACTGTAACTGATTTGAGGAATTCAGGATTAAAAGTAACAGATGTATTTGTGATTGTAGATAGAGAACAAGGAGGTAGGAAAAATTTAGAAAATAATAATATTCAAGTTAAAAGTCTTTTCACCATAACTCAATTAATGAAGTATCTACTAAAAGCCGGCAAAGTTGCACAAAAGACTGTTGATGAAGTGTCAGATTACATTAGCGAAAACAAACTTTAGTAACAATAAGAATCTTTAAAAAAAATTATATTTGAGACGCATATACGCGAAGATAGTAGTTAATATAATTATTAGTTAAAAATTAATACCTTAAAATACAAATTTTTTCCATAAGATCTTGTCTTAATATTATCTCAATACTTTCATTTAGTAATCGACTCAACCAAATAATACAATTTATACGGTTTAATGATCTATCAATCTTACTATTTATTGACGTAAGTTTGCTGTCAACTTTCTGCAAACTTGTTTAAAAAATGTGTCAAGATATAATGATAAATGACGATTTACCTAATTACAAATTTTACATATTTAGTAAAATGTGCTGTTACTATTTAATTAAGTATTGTTGTTAAGCAGTATTTGCCTTTAAAGTTTTTTACGAACTATTTGTTATCAAGACGAGAATGGAATGAAGATAAATACATTTATTATAAAGCATAATTGTAGTTAAAATTAGTTGAAATCTGCTGCAGAGTAAAATATTTTTATACCATAAATTGTAAACATAAGCAATGTCGAATTTGTACTCGAATTTTCAAAGATACTTAAATAAATTTTGTATAAATTTTTATTAGAAGTTATAGATTTACCTTTAAAAAATGTATAATTTATAAAAGACTGAATTAAAGTAGGTAATGATAAATATATTGCAACAAAATACCACATTTTTAGAGTTTAGAAAATTTAAATTATTTCTGTAAAACCAGAAATATGACAATAAATGATACACAAATATAACAAAATTTTGAATAATTTAAATTTTGTAAAATTTAATTGAAAATAATTGTTTTTTATTATTTTTATTATTTATTTTATTACAATTTTTTAAAATAAACTTTTGAAAATAATTCAATTCTCGAAAATTTTAATGTAAAATCTTCAAAAGTGTAAATTAAATGAAAATTAATAAAAAGTATCATCTAAAAATTATTTACTACTTATTTATTTATTATATTAAAATATTTTTGATAAAAATAATTCTTCGAACTTTTTATTCTCATTTTTTAAAGTTTAATTATTTTCAATATTTTCAATTATACATTTATCCAAAAATTCAAAATCATACAAAAAATATTAAATTTTTTTAAAATTATTTTTGACAATTTGGAGAAAACAATATTGTTCAAAATTTTTATTTAAAATTAGTTTTTTTAATACAAAAATTCTTTTAAGAAAAATTAATTCTTATATATTATACCTAAATATTTTTTAAGATTTAATTATTTTTGAACAAAGTAAATAAAAATTTTTAAAAACTTACTTTTTTCAGGATGGCCACTTTTTCAAAAAAAAATTCTCGGTCATTTTATTTTTTCCTAATTTCCAGACAAAACTTTGACTTTTTCCCTAACCCCAAAAAGTATTTTAGTTTACTCTAAAAATAATTCAACCTCTAAAAAATGTTTGTAATACATTTTTTTGAATATCATTAATTTATAAAAAAATGTTTCCAAAAACTAACTTATTCAGAATTTTTAAGTAAAATTTTTTAGAATTCAACTTTTCTGAAACTTTAATTTGTAACTTTTTGAAATTTAATCTATATTATAATATTATTAATATTAATTTAACATTCTAAAATATAAAAATAATTACTTATAAATTATTGTAGAAGAACGAATTAATATTAATGCAAAATACATTTTTTTTAATTTTATTTTTCAAGAAAAACAGAATTTTATTTTTTATTTTACTACCTACCTTTTTTTTAAATAAAATTAGCAATTTTGAAAATAATAGAATTTAAAAATTTTCTAATTTAAATTTTTGTTGAAAACACTAAAAAAATTCAATTTTGGAGAAATTACAAATAATTGCAGAAATTCAATTATTTTCAAGAAAAATAAAATTCAACTATGTTCAAAATTTAAAAAAAAATTTCGTAAAAATCCTAATTATCTTTATAAATAACAAAATTATTCTCCAAAGTTCAATTACTTTCATAAATGTCAAAAAAATTCTTGTCCTGATTTCAATTATTTTCAAAAATTTTTATAATTTCAATGATTTTCAGTATCTACTACTTTAATAAAATTTCCCTAAAAGAATTCAATTATTATTTAAAAAAAATTTTAATAAAATTGTATGCAAACATTTAATTATTTTCATAAATAATAAAATTTTTTTAAGGAATTCAATTATTACTTTCATAAAAAATAATTTAAAATTCTAGAAAATAATAATTGAATTCATGTTTTATAACAATACTTTTTATAAGTTGTTTAATTTAAAAAAGGTTTGAATTTGAAATTTTTGAATGTCTTAATTCCTGTGGAAAATCCTGTTCCAAAAATAAGATTAAAAATAGGAATTTTGCAAATATTTGTTTTCTTTTTCTAAAACAATTTATAAATAAAAATAATACAAAATAAATCAATTTTCTATTTGTTAATCACAGTTGTTTAACAATTTTCTAATTTTGTTTAGAAGCAAAGAATAAAAATCTGCATAATTTCAATTTTACTAAACATAATATTTAACAAAATTTTAGTGAATGAATGAAAGAATGAAAGAACATTCAAATTATTATAGTTAATATTAATATAGTTAATTCTTAGAAATTTTCGTATCACTTTTGTCCTAATTAGTTCACATTTTTACTAATTCAAATTTAGAGAATAAGTTTTGTGGTAATATTATTGCAAAAAAAATTTATAAATTAATTTATTTTTCACTATTTCAAAGGATGTGAAATTTTCTCTCTTTCAATTTTTTTAGACGAATTTAATTAGAATTGTACTGAAAATAATTGAATTATTGTTTTAAAGAATATTGTTTTAAATTTAATTTTATTCAATATTGTTGTCAGAAATAGAAAGAATTTAAAACTAAATTTAACATTTTATTTTTTTTTGTCTGTTACGTTGGACAACAAAATTCAAAATTTTCTTAGGAATTCTAGAAATTGATACTTTTGATAAAATTCCTTGACTTTTTCTTGATTTCCTTGACCTTGGTTGGCAACTCTGAATATTTATTTTAAATAATAATATTTATTTTAATTTTTACAAAATAAAAAACGATTTTTTCTCGCAAAATAATCAGTGTTTAAAAAAAATACTTTTTAATAAAAAATTTTTAAATTCTCGGCCAAGACCGGTTTTTTCGGTCCAAAAAATTCTCTGTCATTTCCCGGCCCAGCGGCCACTCAGTTTTTAGATTTAATAGAATTTCGGAGAAATCAAGTCTAAAATTAATAAAAATTACAGTGAAAATTGTTTTATAATCTAATTTTGTAATATTTTTACTATATTATGAAACTAAGTGAAAATAATTCTTGTTGGACATTTCTGATTACAAAAATTTTTTTAAAATATAGTTGCATTCCAGCAAGTTTGACTGTATAATTAAAATTCTTTAAAACTTTGATTATTTTTTATATTTTTCAAAACTGCTTATTTTATTAAATATAATTATTCTCAGGTTGTTTTATATTAAGACTTTTTAATCCTGAGAAAGTCTTTTAATTGATAATGTGCTTAAAAAGTTGTATTTATTTGTTGGTTCTGGTTATTGTCCTGTTGTACTCTAAAACAATTTTTTTTAAAGATTAAGTTTTCTGATATTAAGGGGAAAAAACGCTTTCGAAAAGTACTGTTCCTGAAAACATTAAATTTCAATAATTCGAAACTTCTGTAATTTTCATCAAATCTTAAAATAAAAAAATCCATTTTCATTTTTTTTTTTTTTGATACAGAGTCAAAAGAAATTATTCTAATCAAATCTAATTTTTGAATGGAAATATTATCAAAAATATATTAAGTACATATTTTATTTAAAAATAAATAATATTGGCCACTATTAATTAATTATTTTATAAAATGCTTAATATTTTATTTAAAAATGTACATTATTCAATATATAAAAATCTTGCATCTTTCCTTATAACTACAAATAGAAAAACTGTACATTATACAAAGTAGAATGTTAATTTGTTAATTTCCAATTAAGCCTCTTTGCTTTTTGTTATTTCTTCTACTAATTTTTTAAAGACTTGGGCGACTTGACTATCAGGAAAAGTTGTAAGAACACAACTGCCTTTATCTGCCAATTTACTAATCACTGGGTCGATAGGCAGCTTTGCTAAAAATGGAACTTTCACCATTTCTGACAATGACACACCACCGCCTGATGAAAAAATGTTTGTGCATTCCTACAAATTAAATTTATTTCTCATTTACAATTCTTCTTCATAGGGGGCCACTTTTATCAATTTATTTTTTCAAAACCAATTTTTCCAAAAATGTTTGTTTTCAAAAATAATATTTCCAAAAAGTTATTTTTCCAAGACTAATAATTTTTTAATTTTTCTATATTCAGTTGTATATAGGAATTATTATATATATGTCCTTTTTCACAAAACAAGTTCCACTGAAAGCAACTTTGTGAAACTTTGGATCTTTTGGATCAAATTCTTTGGAATTGGTTTGGAAAAATCACCCCCAATCTTTTTTTTAAACTACTTGATTATAAAATATAATTTGTGATTAGCTTACTTTACACGTTGGGCAGACATACCCACTCATATTTTCAATAATTCCTATTATGGGTAATCCAGTTTTACGGCAAAATGTCACTTCTTTTAGAACGTCATCTACTGCAATGGCTTGTGGTGTTGTTACTATTATTGCCCCGTCACATGTGACTTTCCTATTAATTAGATAAATTATTTAATTCAAATTTGAACAAGAAGTGCCCCAAGAAAGCATTCACTTTTAATTTTATCTAACAATATTTCGAATTTGGAAAAAAAATTACGTATCTGTTTTTTAAAACCATTTTTCGAGGTCACCTAAAAGGTGATTTGTAATCTTAATTTAATTTAATTTTTCAAATTTTATTCAATTTTCAAGTATAGGTAATAGTTTTTGAAACTTAACTTTCTCATCCAAAAATATCAAAAATACCTAAGTGATATTATTCTTAAATAAATAAATAACAAAACCAGGGATCAATTTTGGAAAAAAACTAAGTCAGGGTTCCCACAGGTCAGGGATATCAGGGGAATTAGAATTGGTAAGAGAAATCAGGGAAAAGTCAGGGATTTTTATTAAAAGTAACTAGAAAAAATTAAATTTTTAGAATTCATAAGAAAATTCTGGATTTTTTGGTGTCTTTTCTTATTGCCTTATAAACTATGAAACTAACACGAATTCTAATAAAAAACCTTCAAAATTTTTTTCTATTTCTGACAGGAATGAATTTTTTAATATTATTATTTAATTATTTCAAAAGTTTTAACGCAATTTATCTTGATAAATAATAAAATTCTTCACAGAAATTCAATTATTTTTAGGAATTTTAATAAAATTCTTTGAAAAATTCAATTATTTTCATAAATAACAATGTTCATCACAAGAATTCAATTATTTTCAAAAGTAATAAAATTCTTCGAAGAAATTCAATTATTTTTAAAAATTTTAGCAAATATATCGTCAAGAACTCAATTATCTTTAATAGCAAAATTTATTGCCAAAAATTCAATTATTTTCTCAAATTTAAATAAAATTCTTTGCAAAATTTAAATTATTTTCAAAAGTTTATCGCAATTCAATCATTTTCAATATTTACTATTTTCATAAAAATAAAATATTTAATTATTTTCATATAGAAGAATTCCAAATATTTTTAATACAATTTTAAATAAATTCCTCGAAAAATACAATTATTCCTCAAAATTGTATTAATTTTATTAAAACTTGACGAAAGAATTCAATTTTAAGAAACATTCAATTATTCAATAAAATAATAAAATTTGTTGCAATAATTCAATTATTTTCATAAATAACTTTTAATTTAGAGTGAATCAGAATATTAATTAGGGTCTTTTTTTGAAAATTCAATTTTTATTAAAAATTCGCTCTTAGAAGAAGAATCTCAAGCTGTAAAAACATTAAATAGGAAAATAAATATGTAAAAAAGAAAAACTATTCTTTGTTTTTTATGCCTTTATTACTGTGAAATAAAGTTTTATTTATTTCATTAGTTCTTTAATAAAGAATAAACTATATGAGAAATTAATAAAATTAATAAGTTCCTGTAAACATGTAAATTGATAAACAATTAATATAACTTTTAATCCAGTATATTGTCAAGGTTCCTATCATTCTTGTCAGACTTGCATTTATCTAGAAGAACTTATTTCCACCATTTAACATATTAAATTAAAATCAAATCATTTTTGAAAACTTCTATGAAAGCGATGTAGCAGAAATTTTTGACCATAGCAAACTGCATAAGAGGCATTTTATTTGAAAACAACCCCCTTATGAACAATTAAATGTAAAGCACTCTTCAAATAATTATTTCTCATTAGCAGTTTTGAAAGAAAAATTTCTTAACTTTACGATAAAATTTTTTTTTTTTAAATTGTATAATTTTTATAAAGTATTAAGCTTGAAAGATCAACTTTTGAATATCTCGAAACACTTTATCTTAGATTTCAATGAAACTTATGTGAAAGTAAAGCTTAAATATTCCATTTGTAATCCTGTTTCTTTTAAGTAGAAATGTTGATGAAACTTTACTAACTAAAGAAAAATATGTAATTGAAAATAATTTAAGAGATATTTTAAAAAATATAAGGGTGAAAACATTATCTTTCAAATAAAGTCGTTGCGGTCTAATTTTTTAAAAAATGGATACTTTTAGAAATGAATCTGTATGATCTCTGGAAAACGAAATGAAAAGAATTATGTTAAAATATTTATTACTTTTCTTAAAATATGAGTGTAAATTGGAGAAGGTGCAGAAAAATGGCACATTTTTAGCAATTAGAAAATATTTAAAAAAAGCATAGAAAAATTCTTAAACGTACAAAAAGAATTATTGATTCATTATTTTCAGGATTTCTTATCACTTTCTTAATTTTTCTTTTAAATATACAAGAAATATTGAGTTGAAAGTATGCGATTCCTGAATTGTTATATATAAAGATTCAAAAATTGCACTATTTATCAGGTTAAAATTGTTTATTTTCTTTTAATTAAAGATGGTTTCTTATTATGAAAGTGATACGAAATCCCGAAAGTTCATAAAAAATACTCTATATTCTGTGAGTATTTATTTATTTCAATAAATTTCCATTTTTTAAAAATTAGGCCGCAACGACTTTATTCGAAATATAATTGTTTGACCCTATTAATTATTTCTCTAGAGATCTGCATTCTCTTGGATGAACCACCTTAAAACAAATTTATTAGTACCTTAGTTCTTCCATAACTGTAATATGCTCATCTGATGTTCCGGGTGGTGTATCTATGATGAGATAATCGATGTCTTGCCAAACTACGTCGTTTAAAAATTGTTTTATCATACTAGCTTTTTTAGGACCTCGCCAAACTACACTGTTGTTTCGATTTTGCAAAATAAATCCTATTGACATGACAGCCAACTTTTGTTCAGCATCGGCATACACTGGTACCCATCTAATAAAATAATTTATTTTTACACATAAATAGAAAAATTTTAATTAATTCGGACACCTTCTTATTTACTTTTTTTATGTAAAATTCAAAATTTCAAAAATGATAGAATTTAAAAATTTGAAATTCAAATTATTTTATAAAAATAAAATATGAATTGGAATTTAATTTTATTACTGTTAATAATTATAATCAATTGTACAATTAAGAAATTTTAGTTTCTATATAGATTAAATTCTTTCTTAAGGTGCTTATTTATTAAATATAATTTTAGATAATTTAGTTAATTAGAAATGATTAAATTTTACGACTTTGAATCAACGATTTTGCCATTTAAAAATAAAGTGAAAATTGAAAATTTTTGTCTTACAATCGAACCTTTACAGTCAAAATTTTAAATTAATTAATTATTTTCAAAGTTGTCAATAAATTAATTTTTGAAATCTTATTTTTCATACAGTTGCTCTTAGTGTAATAAGCAAGAAAGAAATAATAAAATTGTAATACAGAAAGATTCAATAATAAATTTTAAATGGAAATAAATAAATTACTCAACTTTAGATCTTTAATAAAATTTAAAAATTAAAAATATCTAAATTAAAGACTAATAAATTTACTATAAAGTGCCATAATTTTTTCATGCTATAAATATTTTTAAGCTATATTTTAAAAAAGTATTTTAAAAATAGTTTTTTCAATAAAAATTTTTGGTTGTCCGCTTCACGTAGAATGGCCCTAAATATTTTGTATACACCATTGCCTATATACATGGTTTTTTGTTTTCAAAACACATGTCAAATTTTTAAGATTTAATGTGAATACAAGATTATCAGTTTTAATTAAAATAATTATAAAATACACACCCATTTGTCGACTGATAAACATCTTTGCCTTCTAAATTTAATAAATAAGGAACACTAGGACCACAAAGGTCCACATCGAGAATACCCACCTGAAATAAATGTTTTATTGCATATATTCCATGTAAACATAACCTCAAAAACATATTCTTTAAAGAAACTTACTTTAAATCCAGATTCTTTTAATGACAAAGCCAATTGTGTACTAACTGTTGATTTTCCAACTCCTCCCTTACCAGAAAGGACCAGTAATATATGTTTAATACCTTCCAACATTTTAAAATACTATTAAAATTCGCTTCTTTGCGGTGTGCGCTGAATCAACTTTTGAATCACGCCTCTGCAAGTTTCCAAGAAAAAAATAAGACTCTCCTTCAACAGCTGAGCAAGGAACAAACGTATATATTCCGTATATTCTATGCTGTATAACGTAATTTTTTTTTAAATTAACAATTTTTTGAAAACAATGTTAAAGTTAATAAATATTTTTGCAGTAATAGTTTTTTATGTGAGAATTAGAACGTTACTTTTATTATAAATAATCTTTAACAAATTTTTAATAAATTTCTAGAAATAATTATTTCTAAGTTTGAATTTTTTTATATAAATTAAAATGTGAAAAATAAAATATTTTTAAAAACAATTAATTTGTTTAATTGTTTTTAGTTTGACATTTGACCTTTGATACGATGACAGCGCCAAAGAGGGAGATACTTCAACTTTCATAAAAGAAACATTCCCTTCCTGGAAGTAAAATAATCAATAAAATTTACAGTAATAACTTACAAGTTGGTCACAACACAAGTAGAAATAAAAATGGTAAAAATTAAAAAAAAAAATTAATCACAAATTATTGAATTTATTAATTATTTTTTTCTCTGCACTTCACAAATTTTTTAAATTAAAAACTCATTTTCAAATCAATATATTTCTAAGCACCGCCTAACAAACACTTCTATAGAATATTTTAAATAAAATATATATATTTTATTTAAAATATTTATATTATATTTCTTTTATATATATTTCACGATAGCATTTTATGAATGTTTTAATATTATTTCTACATTTTAAATCCTTATATGTTTTAATTATATCACGTTTATTTAAAGTTTATTTAACAAATGTTTGTAAAAATAACAAACATTTGTTAAATAAACTTTATTGTATATATCTAAACAATTTTTGTTTGTTAAAATTATTGAATTAAAATTAACTGTATATTAATATAAATTTATTAATTTTAACAAAAACCAGAAGAAATTTTTTTTTTCTTTATCAATAATGTTAGAAAAGCAGTTTTGTTATTGTTTCCGCAAAATGAAATAAATTTTCTTTCCTTTCTGCAAAACCTTTTCATAAAGATTTTCATAAGCACTCAAGGCACAGATTATTTAAACCTGGTTTAATAGTGGTACTTTTGTTTTTGCTGTTCGAAAGTATTGTCAAAATATTCAAAAAAAATTTTTATTTGAAATCGCGCATGGGTAACAATAAGCTAAGCTATTTTAATTTGCGCGCTAAATTTTTAAAGCTATTTATCATTTTTTAAGGGCAGGGTACACCGATATTTTTAACTATATCAAGAAAATAATTCCAATATAATAATTTATAATAATAAATATTCCACAAAATTATTTTTAAAGTAATTTTGTGAGGAATCCAATGGTCAGAAAATAAAATCGGTCAGAAAATATTTTGACCCTTTTTGAATTTTTATTTTTCTTAAAAATTGGTGGATTTGGAAATTCATGTGGAATTTTGTCGAAAATATGTTTTTGAATCCAGAAAAAAATTTCCAAATGAAAAAATTAATTTTCATAATTTTTGAAGCATTTTTTTAAAAAAAATCTTTGTTTTAGTTGCTAAAAAATGCCATTGATATTCAATTTTTGTATATAATGGAAATTCAATTGTTTATTTTTCTATAACTAATATCAGATCATAATTTTTATATTATGTAAAAAATACAGAATATAAAAAAATTATGATAAAATTATGATCCGAAAAATAAATTAATTAGAAAAATAAACAAATGAATTTTCAAATAAAAAAAATTAATAATAGGGGTATTTTTAGCATTTTCAGCCTAAAAACGAATTTTTTTTTTCAAAAAATGCTTCCTATTTTAAGAAATTTCCCAAAGAGAAATACCTATAACTCATCAATTTTATGTCAAATTGATCGTCAAATTGATTAATCGAATTTTGACCCCTTTTGATATCAATGACGTTAATTCGACAATAATATTTTTCCGTAATAAATTAATTTTTTGAAGATCTATAATTTTTAATAAAACTTTCTAATTTAAAATTTTTATTTGAAGATTTTTCATTAAGTAATCTTTTAATTTAATTATTTTTAAAATTTGAAATTAAAATTCCTTCAAATATCGATTTTTAAAAGTTTTTATGAAATACTTTAACCGAGACCTGTAAAGTAAACTAATTGAGTCAGAATTTCTCAAACGGATCACATAAAAAAATTTTGTTGTTACAAAATGATGTTGTCCGAAAATGATTAAAAAAATTAAAAATTTTTAAAATTAAAAAAAAATAACATTAAAAATTTTTTTAATGTTATTAACAATTAAGTTTCTTTGTAGTCTTAAATATTATATTTTTAAATTATATTATAATATTATTATATTTTAACCAAAATGTTATATAAATATACTAATAATTTTACTTTTTTCTTAAATAATGACTGTTAACATTTGTATAACTTGTAGATTTAGTAACTTTTTTCGTAATTGACGTACATTTTTTTTCTCAACGATTTTATACTCAGGGGCATGTGGACAATATTCTAGACAATTTTTCTTTTTTTCTAGGAGGCCCTGAACACAATTTGTTATTGACATTTTTCAAACAAATTATATAAAAAACAATTAAAAATGAATTTGTTTAAAAACAAAAATTATTTTTAAATACATTTGTTTCATGACGAAGAAAATCCTTTTCTTTATTTTTAAATAGATCAACTGGATCTCGAGAAAACAATTTTTTTTTTATTTAAAACTACAAAAAAACTAAATTGTTAATATCATTAACAAATCATTTTTTATAGAATTTTTCGGCCGTTTTGTTACCATATGAGGTAAACAAAATCATTTTTGATGGAAAAAACATTTTTCTTTAATGGTCTGTTTGAGAAATTCTGACTCAATTACTTTTTAAATAAAAAAACAAAATTTTTAATTTTAAGTAAAAATTGTTTGTTCTAACTAAAATTAGAATATATTATTAATTATCAACTTTCTTAATTACATTTTAGCATTAAATTGAGAAATTTTGACTTTCATCAAATTCACGTATATAATTTGATGAAAATTAAAATTTAAAAAAAATGCATAAAATTTAATATACAAGCAAATTAATTTAATAATATTAATTAGTACAATTACTTAACACTACTACCGGTCAAAATTGGGAAAACAACCATTTTCATATAAAAATTTTTAAAACATAAAATTTATGGAAACTACAATTTTTTTATTTTTTGAAAGATATACATTTTTTTAAAGAACAAATTCTTACAGAAGTCCTTTGGACAGTACACTGAAAAAAAAAGTTCATTGAATCAAGTAAATGCATTTTCTTGACCTGATTTACTTGAAACAAACCCATATTTTCTTATTGGAAGAAATTTATTTTCTTGTGTCAAGTAATTTTGAGCATTGATCAAAGTTATTGGAATAAGAAAATATGGGTTTGACATAAGTAAATATCTTACTGTTTCAAACGAACTGTTTTACATGCGCCAAGTCTCGAAAAAGTATTGAATCAAGAATATCATGTTCTCACGTCAAGTAATTTACCTTGAGTCATTTGGTATCTTGAGTCAAATAATTTTTTTATTTCCTTTAAAGCAACTATTTATTTCATCCAACACCCATAGTCTTGAGCCAAGAAAATGGGAAGATTAATACAAGTTAATAATTGTTTCAACTCAATTAAAAATTATTTTGTTTCAAAGAAATATTAATTAATCTAAGCATTTCTTTTACTTGAAGCATTTCTATATTCTCATGTTTCAAAATCATTAATTTCTTGCGAGAATGTTATATTTTCTGGAATGAAATATTTTATTTATTCAATTCAATTAAGTGTAAGATCTTAATATAAGTAAATATTTGTTTCAAGTCGATTAAAAATTATATTCAATTAATCCCATATTTATTTGAAGAAAGAAATTCATTTTCTTGTGTCAAGTAATTATTAGCATTGAACAGAATTCTTGAATTAAGAATGTAGTATTTGGCGGAACTAAATATGTAATTATTTCAACCAAATATTTTACTTTTCCGAAGTACCAAAAAGTATTGAATCTAGAATATCATGTTCTTAAGCGAAATAATAAAGTATTGTCTGGAGAATTCATGTTTCTTGAATCGAATCATTTTATTTATTTGCTTTGAAACTTTTTTTTACTTAACACAATGCCGGTGTTCTTGATCCAAGAAAATATTTTTCTTCAAATGTATATGCAACTTAAATATCAGTTTTTGAAAACTGTCCATTGAGGCTAGGATGGCATAGTGGTAGCGTGACGGCTTCTGGTGCGTGCAACCCGAGTTCAATTCCTCCGACCGTGGAAAATTTTCTTTCAAGGTATATTTGTTGTATTTGTGTTAAGTATTAATTAAATGTAAATATATATGTAAAATAATAATTATTTAATTATTTAAATAAAAAATATAAATGTTAATTAATTAAATAATAAAAATGTTTGACCTAAGTATTAGAAAAGATGGGATGGAGGTAAGGGGGGGGGGGTAATTTAAGTAAATAATTTACTTGTATTGAGAAAGTATTTTTTTGATTGAAAACTATAAATTTTCTCAAATCAAGAAAATATTTTCTCGGACAGAGAACATACTTTCTTGATTTGATACATAAATTATTTTGAATTAATATATTCTGCATTTCTTACATGCTACTTAATTTCTTGGTAGAATTCCATATTTTCTTGGATCAAGAATATCTGTTCTTCTCACAAAATAAATGTTTTCTTCATTTAATCTTGAATTACTTGAACGAACGTTACAAAACATTGAATGAATCGAATAAAATAATTCAATCATCTATATATATTCTTAGAACAAGAAAATATTTTATTCATTTAATACATTTTATATTTCGTATAAGAAGACTAACTTCTTGGTCGAATTCCATATTTTCTTGGATCAAGAATATATGTTCTTCTCCCAAATATCCTATGTCAAGAAAATCGTTTTCTTGAATCAATACTTTAATAGTCTTGGCCGTATTCAATCCCACGATTTACTTCAACCAAGAAAAATTTTCTTGGTTCAATACTTTTTTTTTTTTCAGTGTATTTTATTTAGATATATATTTTCTCGGATATTTTAAAAAAATCGTAATTTTCAATGTTTTACAAAAATTTGAATAACATCTAAAATAATGAACGCTTTTGAATGATTTTAGGATTATTTTAAAGATCATTTTCTGCAGTATGAGAATTACACTTATAGACGCATTAACGTGTAATTTTTTTCTTTAAAAATGCTGGTCCTCAAAGTTAGACAGAAAAAATTCAAGAAATTTGAATTAATTTTTTTGTACTAAAAACTACATATTCTAGAAAATATATAAAACATAATTATGGTGTAGATTTTTCCATGTAATAAAAAAAATATGGATTTCAAAAATTATTTTTTTGTTAATAAGATTGTTTCAAATTGATTGAATTTTTTTGGTCCAAGTTTGACGCCCTGAATACTAAGAAAAAAATTACACGTTATAATGCCTATATTATAAGTAATTCCCATTCTGTAGAAAATCACATTTAAAATAAGTCTAAGTTCATTAAAAAGCGTTCATTATTTTAAAAGTTATTTTTTGTGAAACATTGAAAATGACGATTTTTTAAAAATATCTAAATAAAATATTGGCCAAATGACTTTTGAAAGATCTTGTTCTTTTCAAAATTTTATGATCTTTCAAAAAATAAAAACAAACGAAATTTTAGTTTCCATAAGTTTTATGTTTTAAAATGTATCTTTCATTTAGCTGAAAATGGGTGGTCTCTCAATTTTAGTTATTTAGTGTATGTAATGAAATTTTACATTTATTTGTGTTGTACTTTTCTAATATTAAAAGAGAATTAATATAAAAATTATATAAATCCATTATAAATTAAAATTTTTCTCCATAATTTTTAACACACCAATTATTAATTACTTGTTATTACAAAATTATGTATTTTTTGAAGATTCTGTCAAGAACAAAACCAGTTTCGGCTGATGGAGGAAAGAAATCAGTTTCTAAGAGGGATACTCCAAAATTGGAAGAATTCATCAAGAAAAGAGATTATACAGGAGCAGTGACATTCTTAGAATTTAATGAATCATCCTCGCCTAACATAGAAATTGATCTGTGGATTGCTTACTGTTATTTTCATCTAGGAGATCACAGGAAAGCAGCAACAATCTATGAAGATATGCAAAATAAAAATCTACCCACGAAGCCTCTGGAATTATTGACTTACTTAGCTTGCTGCTATTTCTTCTTAGGAATGTATTCAGAAGCTGAAAAAATTCTTTCACGTGCACCAGAAAGTTCCTTAAAGACAAGAATTTTATTTCACTTGTGCCACAAAATGAATGATGACGAGAAGTTAAAAGTGTATCACACAAAATTGGAAGATGTCATTGAAGATCAATTAAGTTTGGCATCTATTCATTACTTAAGGGCACATTATCAGCAAGCGATTGATATTTATAAAAAGGTTCTTCTAAGTAACCGGTAAGAAAAAAGAATTTCTAAAAATAGTATATTAATAAACAGTATAAGGTAATTAAGGTAATTAAATCTTTTAAAATTTCTTTTCCGGGGGTTTTCGGGGTCAAAAAAATACTTTGCACCCTTTTACAAGAAATCAACTATTTTATCATGTTAGTAAATATCTGAACGTAGATATTTATTCATTTCAGGGATTATTTTGCCCTTAATGTTTATGTGGCATTGTGTTATTACAAACTGGATTACTATGACGCTGCTCAGGAAGTTCTTCAAGTCTACTTGCAACGATATCCTGATAGTGCAATCGCAATTAATCTCAAAGCATGCAATCACTTTCGACTTTACAACGGAAAAGCTGCTCAGGCCGAAATGAAAAATCTAACTGAAAAACTTTCAGGATCCTGCAATTTTGGGAATGATTTAATACAGCATAATATGGTGGTATGTCTCAATTTATTAATATTATAAAGTAACATTCCTTGTAATGCAAATAACAGGGTTGCCACTGGTCTGGGAAATCAGGGAAAAGTAAGGGATTTTTATTAAAAGTACTGGAAAAAATTAAATTTTTAAAATTCATGAGAAAACTCTGAATTTTGATGGTTTTTTGTTTGCCTTATAAACTATGAAGTTACCAGGAATTCTAATACAAAAATTTCAATTTTTTCGATTTCTGACAAAAATTAATTTTTTTGTATTATTTAATTATTTTAAAAGTTTTAACTCAATTATCTTCATAAATAACAAAAATCTTCATTGAAATTCAATTATTTTTAGGAAATTTAATAAAATTCTTCGCAAAATTCAATTATTTTCAAAACTAATAAAATTCATCGTAAAAATTAAATTATTTTCAAAAATTTGAATGAATATCTCGTCAAGAATTCAATTATATATTCAAAAGTAATAAAATTCTTCTCGGAAATTAAAATATTTTCAAAAATTTTAATGAAATTCTTGTCAAATTTCAATTATTTTCAAAAATTTTACTCAATTTAATGCTTTTCAATGTCCTTTATACTTTAATAAAATTTTCCAAAAGAATTAAAATTAATAAAATTCTACGCAAATATTAAATTATTTTCATAAATAAAGAAAATTCCTTTTAGGAATTCAATCAATGTTTGTATTTAAATAATTTAATTCTCGTAAAATTTTCTAATAAAAATTGATTATATCGTGAATTTTTAGAAATAATTGAATTTTAAAAACGTTTCAAATTAAAATCTTTTAAAATTTGAATTTTTCTTATTTTTAATTGATAATTTTGTAGAACTATTTTTTTGAAAAAGGTTTAAATGATTTTTTTAAAAAATTATTTCAAGTTTTTATTTTATAAATATTTAATATTTAATTGAAGGAACTTTTTTTAAAATTATTAAAAATAATTACATTTTTCAAAGAATTTACTTAAAATACAATTGTATTAAAAATAATTGAAATCCTGTGAATAATTTTATTATTTATGAAAATAATTGAATTCTTGCAACGAATTTTACTAAATTTTTTTTAAATAATTGAATTCTTCTGAGAAAATGTTGTCAAGTTTGAATATAATCGACGAAAGAATTCAATGTTAAGAAACATTCAATTATTCAATAAAATAATAAAATTCGTTGCAATAAAATAATAAAATTCTTTTCCAAAATTCAATTATTTTCATACATAAGTATAAAAATTTATCACAAGAATTAAATTCTTTTGAAAAGTAATAAAATACTTTGCAGAAATTAAATTATTTTCAAAATTTGTGAAAAATTCTCGTCAAGAATTAAGTTATTTTTGTAAATAGATAGCTTAATTCTTCTCAAAAAGTATATTATTTTGAAAAATTTCAATAAAATTCTTGGCAAAATTTCAATTATTTAAACAAAAATTTAATAAAATTCTTCGAATGAATGCAATTATTTTCATAAATTATTAGGTATTTAAATTCTTCTCATGAATTAAATTATTCACAAAAATTTTAATAAAATTCTTCAAAAGTTTTCAATTATTTTCAAAAATTGTAATAAAATTCTTTAATTCAATAAATTTCTGTAAAATTTTGATTAAATTCCTTAAAAGAAATTAATTATTTTCAAAAGTTGTTAATAAAATTCTTCATAGAAGTTCAATTTTAAAAAATATTGAATTATTCAATAAATTATTTATTTTTGTATTTAAATAATTGAATTCTCGTAGAATTTTCATAATAAAAATTTTTTTTCAAAATAAATTTCATTTAAAATTTTAGATTATAATAATTGAATATTAAAAGCATTATAGCGTAAATTTTTAGCAATAATTATTGAATTTTTAAAAGGTTTCAAATTAAAATCTTTGAAAATTTGAATTTTTCGCACTTTTAACTAACAATTCTGTAAAATTAATTTTTTTGAAAAAGTTTTCGAAGAATTTTAATTTCTTTGTAAAAATAATACTTAATGATTAAATATTTATTTAAAAATGAAGATATTGATGTTTTCGAATAATTTTCCAATAAAAGAAATTCGTAAATAAATGAAATAGATCATTTTTTTGAGTATCTAATAATTTTGAGAGTGAAACAGAATAATCTTGAGGGTCAGGGAAAAAGTCAAAATTCTGTCTGGAAATCAGGGAAAAGTCAGGGAAGAACAAAATTAAATTTTTTTGGCAACCGTGAAATATTTGATGATTTAAAAAATTCAAAATGGCGGTTATAATATGGTGGATAATTTCAAGATTGATGCAATTTGATCGAAATTTACTTCTCGGGGGTTTTTGGGGTCGCTAAATCCAAATTTGATGTCAAAATTAAAAATTGATGTCAATATGACGACAAATATTTTACAAATGAATTAGAATCTGATGTCATCAGACTTTAAAAATGCAAAATGGTTTGTAAAATGTATAAAAGTGTAGCGTACGGTTTAGTAATTGAAAAAGTAAAAAAAAATTTTTACAATTTCACATTAAATTCGAATTTAATAACTTTAAAAACTCCCGAGTAAATATTTTTAGACAAAATTAATTCGTCAACTTTTAAAAAATTGGTCGTCATATTGGATCCGACATTTTGGATTTTGAAAATCTGATATCAAATTCGTAATCAGCGACCTCGAAAATCCCCGAGAAATTAATTGTGGTCGAAACGCAGAAATTTAAAAATTATCCGCCATATTGGATCCGCCATTTTCGATTTAGGAAAAGTAACCTCAAAATTCGAATTCAGCGAAAAAACCCAAAAACCTTACATATGATGAAATGACATTTTTTTGGAAACTTTTTCTTCTGACTGTTTTAGACATATAAGCGATTTTTAACTGGACTGCGAAGGAGTATCATTATCATTAAAATTATATTGGATGATTTATTTTAATTGTGGATTAATTATTCATGTAATTAAACAGGTATTTCGAGCAGGTGAAGGAGCATTACAAGTGCTTCCAAATTTAGTTGACGTTATACCAGAGGCTCGATTGAATTTAGTAATATATTATTTGCGACATGATGAAATTCAAGATGCTTATGAACTTATAAAAGATCTTGAACCAACAGTGCCTCAAGAATATATTTTAAAAGGAATAGTAAATGCAGTTATTGGTCAAGAAACTGGATCTGTAAGTTTTTTTTAATACATATTTTTGAAATTAACAACTTTTTAAACTAATGAATTTCTTTTTAGCGAGAAAATATAAAAATCGCTGAACAATATTTTCATCTAGTGGGTTCATCAACTTCAGAATGTGATACAATTCCCGGTAGACAATCAATGTCTTCCTGCTTTTTTCTGTATCGACAATTTGAAGAAGTCTTGGTTTATTTGAACTCTATAAAAACTTATTTTTCTAATGAAGATAACTTTAATATGAATTACGCTCAAGCGCAAACTGCAGCAGGTTATTACAAGGAAGCAGAAGAAGCTTTTCTTGCTGTTCGAAACGAAAAATACAAAAACGATTACACCTACATCAGCCTTCTTTCTTATTGTTGTAAGTTTCTGCTTCAAAGAAAAAATTTTAAAAAAAAATTTACTTTTTAGAAATAACTTTAATTCATTATATTGATATTTTAATAAAGAATTATTAAAATGATTTTAGATATAATGAACAAAAAAAGTCAATTTGCTTGGGAACTCTACATGAGAATGGACACTTCTTCGGAATCATTTAATCTTCTTCAGTTAATTGGAAACACTTGCTATAAAGTTGGTGATTTTTGGTATGCAACTAAGGCTTTTGATATGCTCGAGAGAATGGATTCGACACCTGAAAATTGGGAAGGAAAACGTGGTGCTGCTTGTGGAACATTTCAATATATTATTGCAGAAAAGTTACCCAAGTTCGTATCACTCTTGTTTCATTACATTATCTATTATTTCAGGGTTGCCACGCTTCTCCCTATTTCAAATTTCCTGACTTTCCCAGAGTTTCCAGGTTAAAAAACGAAATTTTTCCAGGTTTCTAAAACTACATTTATTTTTTACCAAATTCAATAACATAATTCCTGATATCAAGAAATTTTTTTGTCTTTTTCTCTAAAGAATATTCTGATTCACTCTAAAAATGATTACATACTCAAAAAAATGTAATACATTTATTTACGAATTTATTTAATTGTAAAATTATTCGAAAGCATCAATAACTTCTTCTTTTAAAATAGTTGCCACAGAACCTGGAAATCCTGGAAAACGTATGGTACTTAGAAAATTGTATCGAAAACCTGGAAATAGTATGAAATTTTAAAAAATTTCAGGAATTTTGTTTGTCTTAAAAGATTTTTAACAAAATTTTAGTTTCAAATTAAAAAATGTTTTTATCTTATCGTCATATAAAAATCTCTACGCGGAAGAAAAAATTTTTGGCTCGTAATTATTATTAAGTTTTTGGTATTTGAAAAATTGAAAATATAAAACATGAAGATATCGATTATATTTTATATATTATAAGAATATTGTAATGTAACTACATCAAAATTATTTACATCATTTCAATTCAATTATTATTTTCCAGAACTTTTAACTAAAATTCTTCTTTAAATCAATCATTTTCAATAATTTTTGAAAAAGTTCTTTGAGAATTTTCTAATCCATTCACAAAAAAAACGATAATCTAAATTTAAGAATATAATCTTGTCTCCTATTTAAGTATATTTTCCATATATTTTATTCTTAAAGTTAGAATATAAGGTATTATTAAAATAGAAAAAATTTTCTTAAAAAATAAGAATATTTCTGATTCTAAGAACTTTTTTTTATTTAAGGAATATTACATTCTAACTTTAAGAATAAAATACGTAGAAAATATAGTTAAGAGGCAAGATTGTATTCTAAAATTTAGAATATTGTTTTTTCGGTGTTTGTTTACAATTCAATTTTACTAAATTTCTATTATTCGGAATTTCTTCAATATTAAATATATATTAGAAAATAAAAACTTCAAATAATTTCAACAAAATTCAATTACACTTTTTCAAAAAAAATTAATTCTACAGAATTGCCAGTTAAAAATAAATAAATAAAAAAAAAAATAAATAAATAAATAAATAAAATAAAATAAAAAAAAATAAATAAATAAAATAAATTATAAAAAATAAATATAAATTATAAAAATAAATTTTATTTAGTTAATAGTATGCAAAATTTTAATTTTCAAAGATTTTAATAAGCAACGTTTTTAAAATTCAATTATTTCCAAAAATTCACGCTATACTCATATTTAAATAATCATTTTTAAATCAATTTTTATTAGAAAATTCAACGAGAATTCAATTATTTAAATACAAAAATAATTTATTGGGTAATTGAATGTTTCTTGAAATTGAATTCTCATAAAGAATTTTATCAACAATTTTTTATGTAATTGAATTCTTTTGACGGATTTTAATAAAATTTTTAAGAATAATTTCATTTTAAATTCTACAATTAGTTTCATTATTTATGAAAGAAAAAATTAATTGCTTAAAAAAATTTTATTATTTATGAAAATAATTTAATTTCTAAAAAGAATTTTATTTATTTAAGAAAATAATTGAATTCCTATAAAAATTCTATTATTTATGAAAATAATTAAATGTTTGCGTAGAATTTTATTAAAATTTTTTTTAAATAATTGAATTCTTTGGAAAATTTTATTAAAATAGTGGATATTGAAAAACATTGAATTGAGCACAATTTTTGAAAATTGTAATTGAATTTTAAAGAAGAATTTTATGATTTTTAAAGATAATTGAAATTTTTATGAGAATTTATTTAAATTTTTGAAAATAATTGAATTTCTGCAATCAGTTGTAACTTTTCCAAAATTCAATTTTTTTACTGTAGGTATTTAACTAAAATTGTTCTATATAAATCCATTACCTATTTTTAATAATTAATTAAATAAATATTAAAATTAATTTGAAACCTTTTTAAAATTCAATTTTTAAAAATTTTAAGCTATAATGCTTTTATATTTAATTATAATCTAAAATTTTAATTAAAATTTATTTTTGAATCAATTTTTATTAGAAAATTCTACGAGAATTCAATTATTTAAATACAAAAATAATTTATTGGGTAATTGAATGTTTCTTGAAATTGAATTCTCATAAAGAATTTTATCAACAATTTTTTATGTACCTAATTCAATTATTTTGATGAATTTTAATAAAATTTTCCAGAATAATTACATTTCTGGAGGTATTCGAAAAAAAATTGTATTAAAAATAATTGGATTCCAAAAAAGAATTTTATTACTTTTGAAAATAATTGAAATTTTGACGAGAATGTTTACAAATTTTCAATTTTTTTAACATTTTACATTTTTCAAATGTAATTGAATTTCTGCAATCAGTTGTAATAAATTCTTTTTACTGTTTTTAACTAAAATTCTTCTATAAATCCACTATTTTTAATAATTAATTAAATATGTAAATAAATATTAAAAATTTAACTTATTTTAGAACAAATTGAATTTTCACAAATTTTCAAAAATCTATTTGCAATTTCGAATTTAATTCATTAAAAATTGAAATTTTATAAAATTTCAAATTAAAATCTTTTGAAGTTGATCTGAAATATTTAAAAGTAAAATTATTCATTAAAGAATTTCTAAGTAATAATTTTATTTGAAATAAATTGTTGACAGAAATAGAAAAAATTGAAGGTCTTGTATTGGAATGCGTGGTAATTTCATAGTTTATGGGCAAACAAAAAATACATAAAAATTCATAATTTTCTTATGAATTCTAGAAATTGAATATTTTTCCAGTACTTTTAATAAAATTCCCTGACTTTTACAGGTTTTTTCAATGTTTATAAAAATTCCTGACATTTCCAAGTTTTCAGGTCACGTGGCAACCTTGTATTTTCAAAGAATTATATAGTAATTAATTTTTTACAGGGAACTTTTACCAGAAATTATTCAACTACTTAGGAATACGTCAAACTCACAGTCGGAACAAATAATTCGTGTCATACGAAAATGGGGAAAAGATAACAAAATAGCTTGTTAATTTTTATTTTCCGATAAATGAAATGAAAGAATGAATGAATGAATAAATTTTATACACTAAAATAAGTATAGGTATTTATATAAATAATTTTTTATAAACAACTCATTAAATTTAGATTTAATATAAAATAGATATATTTATTTAAACTGCGATACACTCACTTTTTTCTAAGAATAATTATTAGAATATATATAAATATATATAAAATAATAATCAAAATCATTGTCAAACGAAAGTAATAAATTGTTGAGTTTTACAAAAAAAAAAAAAAAACCACAGGAAATGGCTATATTGGATTTTCGCATTTACTCCAATTTATTTTTTATCCATTATCCCTTTAAACGTAGTAAAGAAAAATAAAGTCTTTGAACTTTCATTCGTCTTTCTTAATAAATGGAGTAGACAGAAGAATGTTCGTTCATATTTGTTCATATACAACATGGACAAATTTTTATTACTTTTTTTATTTCCTGTCCCCCGTATTATAAAGTTTACTTTATAATTTCACTTTTCATTTTTATTTATATAATTTATAAAACTGAATATTTTCGAATGTTAATAATATAAAACATAACAAGAAGAATATATATTTATTTGAAAAGTTTTTATTTATTTTAAATTTATTTATCATCTTTAGTGATAAATGGAAAATAATAGCGTCAAGTAAGTACATAGAAAGAAGAAATCTAAAGAATATTTTTATATTATTTATTTATTATTGAAAAGTTGAAAAGACAGGAAAATTTTTAGAGCATTTATTTGATTTCCTACAGTTACTTTAAAGATCTCTTAGCAATTTTACTTTATGTATAATAAATTCTTTTAAGACATTAAAAACATTAGATAAATAAAAAATAATTCCTAAGATCCGGCAAGGGTCCTCGTGGCATGTGGACTAACTAGAAAATCCCATTAGTAAGAAAAGGACAAAGATATGTCTATCCTTTTTTACTAATGGGATTTTATGGATAGTCCAAAGGACACGATAATTTTAAAAAAAGTAAAATTAATGTTATATTTTCTAAAACTATGAATGTTACAGAAACTAGACAAATGAACCTTTTTAAAATGTACTTATAAAGAAGATAATTGAAAAAAATTCCTTAAAGATTATTTGGGAAAATTACAATATTTTTTGAAAAACACTATTTAAATTGGCTGTTTAACTCTATTGTAAGACTGTCCTCTAACAATTGGTTTCGAATTTCTAGGCTTAAGACAGTGTGCTCAATTCCTAGCATTTAAAATTTTTCTCTGACAGGTATTTTATATTATCATAGGCTTTTGTCTATTTGACTAGTCATTAAGCATTCATTTCAGTATGCAACTGCAGTTTGTACATATTCGATTGGGTTCATTAAAATAAATTATTAAAATTTTTTCTAAACCGTAATGAACAGTCTTACGTTATCTCGACAATTGTTAATCTTTTGTCTTTTATTATTAATTACAATAATTAACTATTTGAATTAATTTTCCATGTATTATTAAGAATTATTAGTATTATTTACTATGTACACTGTTTTAAAAAGGTTTTAATTAATATGAAGACAATATTTCATTGTCGTGTTTCGAATTTTTAAACAGCAACTCTATCTTGCTTTATATTGTCTCCAACTATATTTTCTATTAATCTTAATTTTCTTTGAACTCGATTTTAAACATATTCTCAATATTTTTTCTTTCAATCTACGTACAGTGACGTGAAGTTTAAAGAGGAAATAATAGAAATAAAACGAATAAAAGAAAATTTTTTCCACCTCTTTCTAAAACTGTCCAAAATGTAGTATATGAACGATGCCTTTGACTACGTTAAATAATTAATTATTGTACCAAAGGCAAAGAACGTTTAAAAAGATATTTTTGTTACATCGAAAACACCAGATTTTAATCCAGTAAATTCCTCTTTAGAAAAAGAGAATCCGCCCTGGAATTTGTAAATCTACTTTGCAAAAATAGCACCAAATTCTTTTTTTTCTTTTTAATGTGATTGCGTCACTTGCATTATTGCTTAATTAATTTTTGTCTTTATTAATTCTTAGGGTATGATTCTCTTTTTCGTTTTCCCCGTTTATTTTCCTTTCTGCTCTCCTAACGAGACGTTTAAAAAATTATTTTACACATCATACAATTCGATTATTACACCAGACTTGAAAATTGTGTTTTTACTTTAAATGCAGACTCACACGTGTGCTTGCGGGCGCGTGTAATATATTTAAATCAAATTGAAGTTTCCATTACTTTAACGAGTAAATGCAGTAACAGGTGAAAAGTGTCTAAGATACAATCAAACTGGTTCATTCTCTCATTCAATCTCTTTCTCTCTCTCTCTCTCTCTCTGTAAATATCTAGTCATTCTTTCAAATTATTTTTCTTAGAAAAAATGTTTGAGTCTTGTGCTTCCACTTTGTATCGAATAAAAGAACGTAGTTTCATTTGGCAATTTGCTGTCGGGTAGCGGTTCTAATTCGCAAAGCACTTCTTCTAAAGTTTTGCGGTATGAATTACCGAAATATTTTCACGAATTTTCAGCCGGCCACAGAAGATGAGAATTTAATTTATACGGCAGCATATGGGCGGCGTAGGCTGCTCACCCTTTTACACAAGGTAAATTTTGTTTTCAATTCTGTACAAGTACAATAATAATTGCGAGACAATGATAATAATTGTTAATCGCCGCGTTGCTCTTTCTTCAGGGAGCAGCGATTTCTATCATATCACCTGTTGCGCTTTTGATATTTGATCATCACTTAAATTCTAAATTTATCGATGCATACATTTTTTTTTAAATACACTATCTGAAGATTGAGATTCCTTAAAATTTATTAAAATTAGACAAACTGATTAAATTTCAATACATTTTAAAAAATTTCCACACAGCGGAAGAAATTTTCCTAAAAAATTTCTCATAAATATTCACATACGAAGCTCAGAAAATATCTGTTTAATATAAAAATGTTCGCGTGTGAAGAAATATTGAAAGTTTAAGCGAATATTGTTCACAGGCTTCGCACTGAAAATTAATTTTAAAAAAAGTAGCTTTAAGTCTCAAAAAAGTAGTAAAAAAGTTACTATCGAAAAATTAAATTCGACCACAAAAACTCACAAAAATGCTAAAAATTTGATTCTGCATTTCACTGACATTTTCCTGACTTCAACAAAAAATATTCACTTTTTTTATCTTTTTCTAATAACTTCAGTTCTAAATTTTTATGAAATTCAATTATTTTACAAAACTTTTAGTTAGAATTCTTCAAAAATTAGATTATATTCGGAAATAATTTTTATAAGTAAAAAAAAAATTTTTTTTTAAATATAAAATGTAATATTACATTAAATTTGACAAAATTTTCTCAAAAGAATTCAGTTATTTAAAAAAAAATTCGTAAAATTCGTTGCAGGAATTCAATTATTTTCATAAATAATCAAATTCTTCGCAGGATTTCAATTATTAAAAAAGAAAAAAGAAAATTCGTTGCAAGAATTTAATTATTTTCATAAATAATAAAATTCCTCACAGGATTTCAATTATTTAAAAAAAATGAAATAAAAATTCGTTGCAAGAATTCAATTATTCTCCTAAAAAATAAAATTCTTCATAGGATTTCAATTACTTTTAATACAATTTTAAGTAAATTCTTTGAAAAATGTAATTATTTTCAAAAATTTAATTAAAATTTTTCGAAAGAATTCAATTATTTTTAATACAATTTTAAGTAAATTTTTCGAATAATTAAATTATTTTCAAATTTTTTTTATTAAAATTCATCCAAAGAATTGAATTATTAATTATCAATTATTTTTTAAATAATTTTTGCAAAAGTTCCTTGAGAATTTTCAAATTCATTTGTTTACATTTTAATTTTACGAAATTTCTATTATTCGAAAATTCTTCAATTAAATATTTCGAAAATAAAAACTTGAAATAATTTTTAAAAAAAATTTAATTAAACTTTTTCAAAAAAAAAATAATTCTACAGAATTATCAGTTAAAAATATGAAAAATTTAAATTTTCAAAGATTTTAATTTGAAACGTTTTTAAAATTCACGATATAATCAATTTTTATTAGAAAATTCTTCGAGATTTAAATTATTTAAATACAAAAATTGATAATTTATTAAATAATTGAATGTTTCTTAATATTGAATTCTTATAAAGAATTTTATTAACAATTTTTTATGAACCCAATTCAATTATTATTTTGACGAATTTTAATAACATTTTTTAGAATAATTACATTTTTCGAGGAATTCGATTAAAATTGTATTAAAAATAATTGTAATTCTACAATGAGTTTCATTATTATTTATGAGAAAAATGTAATTCCTAAAAAGAATTTTATTATTTATGAAAATAATTGGATTCCTAAAAATAATTTTATTTATTTCTGAAAATAATTGGTAAATAATTGAATTCCTGTCAAATTTTTATTATTTATAAAAATAACTAAATTTTACGTAAAATTTTATTAAAAATTTTTTAAATAATTAAATTCTTTTGGAAAATTTTATTAAAGTAGTGGATATTGAAAAACATTCGATTGAGTAAAATTTTTGAAAATAATTTAAATTTGCAAAGAATTTTATTAAAATTTTTGAAGATAAATAGATGGTAAGAAAATAAAAACTTGAAATATTTTCAAAAAAAAAAGTTCAATTAAACTTTTTCAGAAGAGTTAATTCTCCAGAATGGTTAGTAAAAGTATGACAAATTCAAATTTTCAAGGAGTTTAATTTGAAACCGTTTAAAATTCAATTATTTCTAAAAAATTCACAATATAATGCTTTTAATATTCAATTAATTTGTAAAATTTTACCAGAAATTAATTTTTGAATCAATTCTTATAAGAAAGTTTCACAGGAATTCAATTATTTAAATACAAAAATAAATAATTGAATAATTATTTCTTAACGTTGAATTTTATCAAAATTTTCGAAAATAATTAATTTCTTTCGAAGAATTTTAATAAAACTTTTGAAAATAATTAATTTCTTTCGATGAATTTTAATAAAACTTTTGTAAATAATTACATTTTTTTATAGGAATTAATTTTAAATTGTATTAAAAATAATTGAAATTCTGTGAAAAATTTTATTATTTATATGGAAATAATTGAATTTCTATCAAAAATGTTCGAATTGTTTCGAAGAATTTTACTAAATTTTTTGAGAATAATTTTATTATTTCTTCTATTGGCGCATTTAAAGTATGTAGTACAAATTAAAAAAAAGAAAAAAGTAGTTTTTATTGTCACAAATTTAAAAAAGTATTCAAATCGAATGAATAGTAAATAGAAGATTTTAGTAGATGAGTGAAAAGCCTAGTTTTTTTTTAGTTTCCTCAATTTTGCAATCAATATCCCCTAAAAAATTTCCATACAATATTCGCTTTGAGAAATATTTAGAAAATTAATTTTTCTGTGTGGGTATTCATTAATTAGTTTGTTTGTTATTTGTTCTTATTTTTAGATCATTTGTTTCTAGTTTTAATTATCTCATAATTAATTTCAAATATTTTTCTTTATGTTCTTAGAGTTTTTTAATAACATAAACACATTTCTCATTTTTATAAAGAGAACGATAGTTTTTGCACATGTAGTTTGTTCTTTCTTACTGAAAATCCCTTTAAGAATTGAATTCTTTACAAATATCTTATGTCAGATTCCACATTAGATAATATAATTTAATTAACAACTTTTAACTTATTATCAATAATTGAGAAGCCGCATTTCATTTTCTCATAACATCTCTGTTATGATTTATAGAGAACGGTCCTTCAGTTAATAATAATAAAGATAATAAATTCAACATAGAATCTTATGTAAGAACTCGAAAGATTACCTTGGTAGGTAAATTGTAAATTGTAAAGTACTGCAATTTGAAAGACTAATTATTTTTTCAAATCACAGTACAATCTTCAGACGACAAATTTCTTTCATTGTTCACTTGTTTTTAGACGTGTTCGTCTTTTGTGGACAGATTAACCGTTATTGAAACTTTATTCATTAATCGAATTTATACATTATATAGAATTTCTAAATTAAATAAGGTCCTATATTCTTGTAAAAATGATTAAAATTGCCATTAATAAATTACATGGTAATTTAATAATTATAGTAAAAAGACTACTTAACGACGAACCATATACACAGAGTATTTATAAATTTGACCGCGTTTTTCATTTGTGAAATTTATTATCTCCGAAGCGCCATGATAGAAAGAGAGAACCCAAAACCCTTTATCACAGCGCTCGGATGAAAATTAGTTTCTTACTTTACTAGATTTCTAGAGATGGCGAGGCTCAAGACAAAGAAATGAACCACGATTTAGGCATTTTCTTATATGGCGCATTCTAAGAAGCGCATTCTTAGATTATTCAGAATTAATGGCTTTAATGACAAAAAAAAAATCTTTAATCTTTAATGAAACTATTTTGCAAAGAGAAAACATTAAAAATTTGACGGTTGGAATATGGCCCCGCTAGAAATTTTCAATTATGTCCGCGCAAATGAAATGTATGCACCCATTCTTAAACGCAGATACATTAATGAAAAGAAAAGTTTTAATACTGAAAATAACTATAAATTCAATATTGAAAGACGAGGAATTTCTTTTGGCAGTGTAAGAAACATTTTCAAATGCTCAACAATACTCAACTCTTAACATCACGAAATTAATAGATACAAATTAATGCTTTGTATAAAATAAAACAAGTTTACACTAACGAACTGGACTAAATATTTATAGTCTCTAAATATTATTTAAAAACTAACATAGTAAAAGAAAAGCATACAACGATGTGAAAATAGTACGAAATAAATCCTGTGAAGTAGTATAGTTTACTAGATAAAGTGATCAACTCTTTAATAAATACAAAATATTCATTTAAACGCTCATCAAAAATTTCAAGTTCCCGAATAGTAGTCATACATAAAATTTGTCAACAAAGCAAATTTGTGTTTATTAAAGAAGGACGTTAAAGTGTGAACTTTTACCCAACTTGAAGTAAACTTGAAGTAAACAATGGTCAAACGAGCAGAAAATCAATACAGGCAGGCGTCAATTGATTTGTCTGAGTCTCAAGTCGTACGGATTAATTGCAGTCAGAAATCTCTAGTCTACCTCTCAGTCTGCATCATCATCTTGGTCAGTATTTATAATTTTGGTAGCTGGGTGTTCCGTGGCACGCTCAGGATAAAATATTACATTAAACGTAATCCCGTTGATAACCAGATTTTGTTTTACTTTTCAGTGTTCTCTTGTAGCTTCGAGTGAGACTGTGCATTGCCACACTGCTTAGAGCTGCTTTCGTGCATGCCACGGCACTTGATTCCTAATTTCTCTCCCTGAAATAAAATCGAACATTTCATTAGACATTTTCAATTAAATGCAACTTACGGCACTAATATTAACCATCTTTCATTCAGATTTTTTAAAAAGGTATGTAAATGATAACATATTTCTTAAACCTCAAAATTCATGAAAATTTTCATGATTTTTAGACACTTGAGTAACTTCTACCTCGATTGGATTAAAAATGACAATTCTACACTAGATTTAGTGAACGAAACTACTCTTTTCAATTGTAGTGTTCCTTTAACTTTTTTGCAGCAAAAAATCAAACAATAAATTTCAGGGTTACCACTGCTCATTTCAAATTCCCTGACTTTTCCAGGTTAAAAAACGGAATTTTTCCAGGTTTTTAAAACTACATTTATATTTTACAAAATTAAATAATTTCAATAAACTTTTACAAATACATGGAACTTTCATATAATACTGCGTATTCCACATTGTTATATTTATCTTTTTTAAATAAATATTTAATTAGTTTTTCTTAGGAATTAAAATTTTTCAAAAGATTCAAATTCAAACCTTTTTGAAATTAAACAACTTATAAAAAATTGTTATAAAACATAAAGAAATCGATCTTCGACTCGGAGCAATCGATATCTTCATGTTTTATAATAATTATAATGACCGACTGATAAAATCATTATTTTATATTCAGGCCTCGGATCGACTTTAAAGCGCAAAAGTCGCTTTAGTCGATTTAAAATAGAAAAAAATTCGAAAAAGTCGTTTATTTAATTCAGTGTCGTCACAAAAATTTTATTTTTTATTCTTCTGATCTTTCACTGATTTCTAAATTTAATTATTTAAAACTTGAATAATTTCGTTAAGTAAATATTTAAATACTTCTTGCTTGTTTTTATACGGGAATAAAATTTAAAAAATTTCTATTTAAAACCTTCTGAAATTTAATAACATCTAAAAATTACGACTGTGATTCTCTTAAAATTTAATTATTTTCTACAATTTTTAATCAAACTTCTTCTCGAAATCAATTATTTTTAATAATTTTCCGAAAAATTCTTAGAGAATTCAATTATTTAAATACAAAAATTCAGTTTTTTATAACAATTGTAACTGTCCATATTTTTTAAGTTATTAATTAATTTTCAAAAAATTACAACAAAGAAATTCTTAAAATTAATTCTTTTTAAATATTTTTAGAATAATTTATGAAAGATAATAGTTTTTCAATTATATCCTACAATTTAAAAATTTCCAAAAAATTGAAATTTGGTAAATTCTAATTAAAAAAAATAATTGAATTTTAGAAGAATTTTAATAACATAAACGTCATTTCTCAAAACTTTTAAAAAATCTAAAAAGTAAATATTAAAAAATTTTAATCTACTTTGTTGGAAGTTAATTAAATCTTTAAAAACTAAGATAAAAAATTACAAGAAAAAGTTTTTTTTTCAATATTGTAATGTAATTTTTCGAAAAGAATTGAATTTCTTAAAAGAATTTTTGTATAATTTAAAAAAAACTAATTTTTTGAATAATTTGGATTAAAAATTTTGAACATGATTGTAATGTTGTTAAAATGTGAAAAATAATTGAAAACAAATTTTATTGTTATTATTTTTTGTATGTATTTGAATTTTTGAAAATTTGTATTTGAAAATATTGAAAATAATTGAATTTTAAAAAATTAGAATGCAAAAATTCTAATAAATGTTTTTTTCAAAAATATTCTAATATAATTTTTAGAAGCTAATTTTCATTAATTACCATTTTTAAATTTACATTCGAGTTTACATTTGAAGATTTTTCAATAAAATTTTTAAGAAATCAATTATTTTCAAAATTTGCAATTAAAATTCTTCAAAAGTTGATTTTCAAAAATTTTTATAAAACTATTTTAAAAAATCAATTATTTTTAATTAAATTTTATAAAATTTCAATCATTGAAACTCTTTTTAATTGTAAATTTTGTAAATTTAATTAAAAAAATTATTAAAATATAATTTTTGAAGATTTGTCTATAGAAATTTTTCACACTATGTAGAAATCGAAATAAGTTGCATTTTATAGGTACTAAAAATTGTTGCAATATTTGGAAAAAAGTTGAAAAAGTCGTAATTTTTTAAAATAAGTCGAAAAAAGTCGTAAAAGTCATAATATCCGAGGCCTGTACCTATATTATAAAAATAATGTTACTGTAATTTATTCGAAATTGCTTTCATCACTTTAAGTTATTGTTTTCCAGAATTTTTAACTAAAATTCTTCTTTAAATTTATTGGTTTTAATAATTTTTGAAAAATTTATTTAAAAATTCTCAAATCCTTTTGTTTACAATTCAATCTTACGAAATTTCATCGATTATTCGGAAATTCTTCAATCAAATATATATTAGAAAATAAAAACTTCAAATAAATTTTAAAAAATTCAATTAAACTTTTTCAAAAAAATTAAATCTATCACAATTTTTAGTTAAAAGTATGAAAAATTCAAACATTCAAAGATTATAATTTGAAATTATTTCAAAATTCAATTATTTCTAAAAATTCAGCTACATTCTCTCTAAATTTGAATTAGTAGAAATGTTTAGTAATTGGAATTAGTGACTGACTTTTTGCTTTTGAATTAGTAAATTTTACTATTAAATTAGTAGAAACGACTATTTATTAGTAAAATCTGCTAATTCAAAAGCAAAAAGTCAGTCACTATTTCAAATTAGAAAACATTCTTACTAATTCTAATTTAGAGTTTAATATTCAATTCTTATCTAAAATTTTAACTGAAATTCATATTTAAATCAATTTTTATTAGAAAATTTTACGAGAATTCAATTATTAAAATACAAAAATAAATAATTAATTGAAGAATTGAATGTGTTTTAAAATTGAACTCTCATAAAGAATTTTATCAACAAATTTTTAAATAGGTAGGTAATTAAAAATCTTTTGACGAATAATTTTAATTTTCGAGAAATTAGATTAAAATTATATTAAAAATAATTGAATCTCTGTAAAAAATTTGATTGAATTGAGAGAAAAGTTTTTGAAAATAATCAAAATTTTGCCAAGAATTTTATTAAAATAAAAATTTATTTTTGAAAACAATTGAATTTTGAAGAAAAATTTTATTATTTATAAAGATAATTGAAATTTTGAAGAGAATTTTTTTTTTTTGTGAACTTTTGACCATAATTGAATTTCTGCGAAGAATTTTATTACTTTTGAAAATAAGTGAATTCTTGAGACGAATTTTATTAAAATTTCTTTGTAAACAATTGAATTCTTTTGTGAAATTTTTATTGAAATAGTAGATATTGAAAATAATTGAATTTCGATAAATTATTAAAATTCATTAAATTTCTAAGTAGAATTTTATTAAAATTATTTTGAAAAAAAATTGTATTGTTAAAAAGAATTTCATTAAAATTTTTGAAAATAATTTAATTCTTTCAAGAAATTGAACTTCTTTGATGAATTTTAATAAAAATTTGAAGAATAATTACATTTTTTCGAGAAAATCCTTTAAAATTGTATTAAAAATAATAATTGAAATTCTGCGATGAGTTTTATTATTTATGAAAATAATTGAATCTCTTTAAAAAAATTGATTATTTATCGAAAATAATTAAATAATTGCGATGAAATTTATAAAGATTTTGTAAATAATAGAATTCCTGTGAAATTTTTATTATTTAATTAATTCATTCAAAATTTAAATTTTACAAAATTTCAAATTACAACCTTTTGAAGTTTATCTATTTATGAAAATTGTAAACGCAACTCTTTTAAAATTTAATAATTTTGAAATATTTAAGTAAAATTAGATTTCAAGAATAAGCACAATTAGAAAACAATAATTTTCCAGGATTCTAATCAAAATTTCCTAACTTTTCCAGGTTTTTTTCAAGGTTTATGAAATTCCCTGATATTTCCAGGTTTTCCAGGTTGCGTGGCAACCCTGAATTTAGTTAAGCGCTAAATTTACTAAAATTAAAACTTGATTAGTGAATCAAGTGTTTCTGGAGTCGCTGTTTTCGAATCCAATGCCAGTTTTTCAAATTTCAAAATGGCGGATCTAATATGTCGGACACAATTTTAAAAATCGATGAAATTCGTCTCAAATTTGTTACTCTGGGGATTTCGGGGTCGCTGATTACAAATCCGATGTCAGATTTCAAAAATTCAAAAAGGTGGATTCAATAGATGCGAATTGGATAGATTTTTACAAAACTCGTTCACCATAATCCATCATTTTCAATTTTCGAAATCTGACGGGACGCATTATTATTCCCCAAATGTCATTTTTCCGAAATGTCATTTTACCGAACTGCACTTTTGCGAATAGTCATTTTTGCGAAAAGCCATTTTTGCGAAATGTCATTTTTACGAGTAGTCATTTTTGCGAAAAGCCATTTTTACGAATAGTAATTTTTGCGAAAAGTCATTTTTACGAATTTTCATTTTTGCGAATTGTCATTTTTGCGAATCGAAATTTTTACGAATTGTTTTTTTTACGAATCGCCATTTTTACGAATTGTCACTTTTGCGAATCGACATTTTTACGAATTGTCATTTTTGCGAATAACCATTTTTGCGAAAAGTCATTTTTACGAATTGTCGTTTATGCGAATTGTCATTTTTGCGAAAAGCTATTTTTGCGAATTGTCACTTTTGCGAATCGCCATTTTTATGAATTGTCACTTTTCCGAAAAGTCATTTTTGCGAAAAATACAATAGTAAATTTGTAGGTATATATAGATTCACTATTGTATTTTTCGCAAAAATGACAATTCGCAAAAGTGACTTTTCGGAAAAGTGACAATTCGTAAAAATGGCGATTCGCAAAAGTGACAATTCGCATAAATGACATTTCTCAAAAATGAAATTTCGCAAAAATGACAATTCGCAAAAACGACAATTCGTAAAAATTACTTTTCGCAAAAATGTCTATTCACAAAAATGACATTTCGTAAAAATGTCGATTCGCAAAAGTGACAATTCGTAAAAATGGCGATTCGTAAAAATGTCGATTCGCAAAAGTGACAATTCGTAAAAATGGCGATTCGTAAAAATTTCGATTCGCAAAAGTGAAAATTCGTAAAAATAACATTTGAGGAATAATCATGCGTCCCAATCTGACATCGGATTCGTAATCAGCGACCCCGAAAACCCAGATTAACGAATTTGAGACTATTTTGATCGACTTTTAAAAACTTGTCTGACATTTTGAATCCGCCATTTTGAAATTTGAGAAACTGACATTAGATTTGAAATCAGCGACTTCAGAAACCCTTGATTAGTGATTATAGTAACTTTAGCGTTTAACTAAATTTATTGTTAGATTTTTTGCTGCAAAAAAGTTGAAGGGATACTAAAATTGAAAAAAGTAGTTTCGTTCACTAGATCTAGTGTAGAATTGTCATTTTTAATCCAATTGAGAGATTTTTTACTAATCGAAAAAAAATGTTTTATTCGAGTGACAACTTCACTGTAAACCAGTGCAGGTATAGGTAACTGAGAGTTGTGGATCAATTGGAGCTAGTTGAAACAAAATATCAATAGTTACCCAGGTCCAGGATAGTAATACGGTGGAGGTCGCTCATATTCATTGCTGAGTGGAGGAGCAGCGGCTGGTGGTTGGTACCTAGGAGGACCTCCGTTTGGAAAATCCCAATTCCTGTAAAACCAATAATTAATTTTGTTGAACTTAGGTAAAGATATAAGTAAATAGTTACTGATGTAATTTTTTACAATATCTTTTTTCAAACTCCACCATAATGCTAATAACAGATTTAAATAATATTAATTTCGAAACGTTAAGTATGAGCGTAAAAAAATTAACTTACTTTGGAGCAACATCTGCATATCTTGAATCATTATGAGACGAGCCTTGATGAGCATCGTGAATTCTTTCATTTTCTCTGTCACTATAGCTACTCACTGGACCCTCATAACCTTCTGGATAAGAGGATGGATGATGTCTACTGTGAGATACATATTTCTTATCGTGAACACTGAAATCAAAAAGTAATTTAATAAGTTTTCAGAAGTGTATGACATTTAATGTGCTATTTTATATATATACTAGTGTCCGAAAGAACGGGTTAAAAAACATTAGGACTGTACGGAATGTTTTAAAAATAAGGACAAACGGAATTTTTTTAATAGTCCATACTTTATAATCAAAATAGGGTCCCGTCCAGGATATTGAGAATACAATCGTTGCAGACAAACTTTGAAAAAATTTCATATTTTCAAAAAAGATTTTGCAAGCTACCTGGAGTAGGAAATAAAATATTTCAAAGGCCTACAAAGTTTTGGCGAATCTCATATTGAATAAAAATAAGATGCGTTGAAGCACATTTTCCTGTGATGTTGCGTTTTTGACGTGCTGAATCCAAATGTGACCTCAGGACATCAGGTTTTCTTAAATATTATAATACAAACGTGAAAATTTCTCTTTCTTGACCATTTTTAAAGTCATATCTCGCCCTACGGCTAGACAGACCTGTTCACCCAAATATTCTGTTCAGTATCAGATAAAGTCTCAAAAATAAAGAATAAAATCACCACAAACACATAAAATTTAAGTACAGGGTTGCCACGCTTTTCCTCATTTCAAATTTCCTCACTTTTCCAGGTTAAAAGCGTAATTTTTCCAGGTTTTTAAAACTACATTTATATTTTACAAAATTTTATTTTTAATTTTGTTCTTAATTTTACCAAACTCCCTGATTTCCAGACAAAACGACTTTTTTCCTGTTCTATTACATTTATTTACGAATTTCCTTAATTGTAAAATTACTCAAAAACATCAATAACTTCGTTTTTAAATGAATATTTAATCATTAACATTTTTTTACAGAAATTAAAATTTTCAAAAATTTTAAATTCAATTACATATAAGAATATTATTATAAAACAAGAAGATATCGATCACTCCGAGTCTTCGACTCGGAGTGATCGCTTTCTTCATGTTTTATAATAATTAAAACTGATACTACCATTATTTTATATTATAAAAATATTGTTACTGTAATTTCTTCAAAATTATTTTCATTTCAATTCAATTCTTCATTTCTAGAATTTTAAACCGAAATTCTTTTTTAAAACAATTTTTTTTTATAATTTTTGAAAAAGTTCTTCTTTGAGAATTTGTAAATCCATTTGTTATAATTCAATTTTACCTAAACTTTCGATTATTCTGACATTCTTCAATTAAATAAATTAGAAATTAAAAACTTTAAATAATTAAAAAAAATTCCATTAAACTTTTTGAGAAAAAATAATACTAAATTTCCTTAAAAATCTTGTCAAGAATTTAAATATTTTTATAGATAATAAAATTATTCTCAGAAATTAAATTATTCTAAAAAAATTTGAATAAAATTCTTCGAAATAATTCAATTATTTTTAAAATTGACAAAATTCTTCGCAAGAATTCAATTATTTTCAAAATTGATAAAATTCTCCGCAAGAATTCAATTGTTTTCAAAAATGATAAAATTCTCCGCAAGAATTCAATTGTTTTCAACATTAGTTTTTACGTAATTTTGATAATTCTGACATTCTTCAATTAAATATATATATTAGAAAATAAAAACTTGAAGAATTAAAGAAAATTCCAATTAAACTTTTTTAAAAAATAAATTCTACAGAGTTGTTAATTAAAAGTATGAAAAGTTCAAAGTTTCTAAAAGATTTTAATTTGAAACATTTTCAAGATTCAATTATTTCTAAAAATTTATGCTATATTGCTTTCAATATTCAATAATAATCTAAAATTTAACTGAAATTCATTTTTAAATCAATATTTACTAGAAAAATCCACGAGAATTTTATTATTTAAATACAAAAATAAATATTTTATTAAATAATTGAATTCTCTTGACAAAATTTTAATATAATTTTTAAGAATAAGTTTATTTTTCGGAGAGTTAATTCAAATTTTATTAAAAATAATTGAATTTCTCCAAAGAGAAAAGAATTTTTGAAACTTTTCTTTTTTTATAAGAGTTTTTGAAAATTATTGAAATTTTGCCAAGAATTTTATTAAAGTTTTTGAAAATATTTGAATTTCGGAGAAAAATTTATAAAGATTATTGAAATTTTGACGAAAATTTTGGAAATTGTTGAACACAATTAAATTTCTACGAATAATTATATTACTTTTGAAAATAATTGAATTCTTGAGACGAATTTTATTAAAATGTATTTTTAAATAATTGAATTTCTTTGATGAATTTTAATAAAATTTTTAAGAATAATTTAATTTTTCGAGTAATTTCATTAAAATTGTATTAAAAATAATTAAAAGTCTGAGATGAGTTTTATTATTTATAAAAATAATGAAATGTTTGCGTAGAATTAAAAATTTTTTTAAAAATAATTGAATTGTTTTGAAAAATTTTATTAAAGTAGTAGATTTATTAAAAATCATTGAATTGAGGAAAGTTTTTGAAAATAATTGGAATTTTGTCATGAATTTTATTAAAATTGTTGTAAATAATTGAATTTCTAAGAAGAATTTTACTAATTTGGAAAATAATTGAATTTATGCAATCATTTGTAATTGCTTCAAAATTCAATTTCTTTTAGTGTTTTTAATTAAAATTCTTCTATAAATCCATTATTTTTAATAATCAATTAAAAAATTTAACTAATTTCAAAAGAATTGGAGTAATTAAAATTTTTTAAAAATTTACGTTCTTTAAAACGATTTCTAGTTAAATTCATTGAAAATTGAAATTTTACAAAATGGTAAGTTATACAAAAAATTTGTTCTCGATGATAAATGAATATGAAAATGAGGTCAGATTCGAAATGAGCATGTCAAAAGCCTTCACAAAAGTATTCTTAAAAATTAAAAAAAAATTTGTTATGGTATCGAAATAGTTTTTTTTATAACTAATCGATTAGTTTGAAGCTGAAAATAAAGCACAATTTTTAAATATTTAGTGAAAATTAAACCAGTGCCCAAACCAAACTGTAGGTGCATGGAGATAAAGAATTAAATATTCATAAAAAGATACATTTTTCAATCTTGTTGAACGAACATATTAACTTGTAAAAATAGCGAGAATAAAGAAAAGCAAATGAGCTTGTTGCATGAAGGAAAATATTTTTTCTAGTGCACTGAGAAAATTATGTTGAGTCCAGTGGCTTATCGTGAACCACCAATACACTCTGTTTCAATCAATCTTACAATTGTACTTTTCAATAAAGAAACCCTTAGCAAAGCTTAGAGATCTGTTGAGTTTTTACTTAGGGATAAAGTATTTCTCTAAACACTTATTTTGCACTGCTAGAAAATATATTAGTAGCGATGATTTTTGATGAGAGACATAAAGTTCGGTCAAAAGCAATGAGAAAAATTTTAGATGCTAGAGTTGTGCTGCAAACGAAAATGTTCCAAAGCGAATTTTAACAAAATTAATATATTCAGCAAAAAACTACTACGAGATGATTGTCTGTTCTGGGATACTTTAAGACATTAAACAGTCGGCAAAAAGTTATTAATAGTAATATTTTTATACCAAATAATTTTTATGATTTTTGTGTTTTGTCAAAAAATAAATATCTTAAATATCATAAAAAGTTAACATTAGATAAAGATTATAAAAACTAGGTACTATATAATTTTTATTACTTTTTGCGTAGTAATAAAAAGTAGTGCTTTTTCTGTTAAATATATTAATTCGAAATAAATATCGAAAAACAGATAATTGTGTAAAGTAATTTTTATGGGATAATCAGGCACCCTAATAGAAGGTAATTCATTATAAAAAATGCAATTACTGAAATTTGTTATTGATCTGTTGTCAAATATTATAAATATTCAATATCAAATATTACTTAATTTAATTTTCAATTGCTTCAAAATATTGGATTACATTGTTAAAAAACAATTTATTCAATATTTATAAAATAAATTGTAGACAAAAAGTACATTAGCATAATGAATCTGTAATGACATAGAAACCAACCAAGTTTACTACCAAAAACAAACAATAAAAAGTCAGTCGCCTTCGGTTTTTAACTCTGCAGTGATCACTAAGATTCGGTGAAGTTAAAATGGCTATGAACAAGTTGAAATTGGCAAAAATTATCGTTTTACTTTAAGGATTACTACAAATCGGTGTTGGAAAATCCGTTCCATTTGGAGACATATTTAAACAGATAAGGGAACATGAATTCGAGGCGTATCAAACGATAATAATGCACGACGATCAGGAAGAAAATCTGGATACAGGGAAAGAAATTTTTCAAACTGCAATCACAATTTCTCCAAGTCGAATAATAAACTTCATTCAGCAAGATCCAATGGAGCTTAAAACTGCAATTACTTCTCGAAGTTTTCATGAAAGTACCCTTTTTGTAGTTGTTCTAGAAAACTCTGCGGAAATAATCGAAGAGTTTTTCGATTTTATGAAGCAAGTAACAGTTCTTTCTGCATTTCCAAGATGTCTGATGATAATCTCCTTAAACGAAAGTAGCAGCAGTCGTGAAGATTTACTCCGATCTGCATGGTCCAGAAACATCTTACAATTGACAATTCTCGATGTTGAACTGGAGAGTAATACGCCAAGAGGAATATTAAGTATTCCCCAAAGGAATATTGTAATTCACTACTTTAATAATTTTACCGGAGTTTATACGAAAATGAACTATAACAAGGAGCACGTTCTATTTCCTAACAAACTGAAGAATTTAAACGGGTATAAAATGAAGGCATTTGATATAAAACCTGTTGATGAAAGAGATTTGTATGTTCAACAACTGAAATCAATTTCAAACGTAATGAACTTTAGTCTAGTAAAAATATATTCAACGGAATGCGATTCGTTAGATGATCCGTCAAATTGCAATTACGATGAAATGAAAAATTATATAAATAATAGTACCTGCAATCTTGCTTTAAACGCCGATTTCGCATACGACATAGATAATGAATCAGATAATCTTGCTTTAACAATATTTTCTTCACATTACTTTTTGTTATTACCTAAACAAA